GCTTTGTAACTGAAGGAGTGAATTAAAGGTCTTCAGTCAAGATCCCATAAAGTATAAAGCTCCCCTCTTGATATCAGTGCACTTATTGTCATTCATTGGTGATCATATGTTCAGTGTGAAGTCCAGCAGGCACAGGGAAACTCTTCCTGTTGTCCCCCCCCCCTCCTTCTCCTCTGTGGACTCCTCCTACACGTCTGCTGGCCCTGCCTCTAGTTCTCTCACTCCAGTACTCCCAGCCTCTGCACGTGTAATGACGCGTGCACATGGCTGTGGCGTGTGAAGTGGGGAGAGATTTAAAGACACGCAACCGCAAACACTCCACACACACTGCTGTCTCTCTCTCTCTCTCTGTGTACTGTTTTGACCCTGCTGCACAATCATTATTGGCCGGGAGTGAATGCTGATTGTGTTGTACACTGCAGTGCACAGATCACATGCCAAACTACACCAAACTCTCTTGTCATAGCTATGAAGTTGATTCATCAAATAGCTCAGGACTCCTTATTTTGCTTTACCTATTTTTTTTCAAGTTCTTCACTGCTCTTCAGCTTTTTGTTTTTCTCCCAATCAGTTTTTACCTTGCAGCCATGCAACCAAATGGTCATGGTTTCATGGTTAAGGTGCAAATTTTAAACTCTGTTTTCTTTTTAAAGCTTACTTTGTTTACATAACCATGTGATCTCACGGCCTCAGCTTGACCCCACAGGACAGCGAAATGTTTGATTGCCATGATAGTCACTGTGAAGCAAGAACAGTTGAAGTCCTGAATCATTAGCCCACACTCCACATAACCCTGTTTACATCACAACTATTGTTATTAAACCGAAAGGTCTGCTAGTCGACCAGCAGCAGGTGAAACTTTGTCAACTCTGAAAAGCTTGGAAACCATTTTCCACGACTGTTGCTGTGAGGTGATCTTGACAATCCCTAGATAATAACCAGTCTCTGCACTGGCCATAACAAACTAGTCGATATTAGTCAACTCACCATGCAGGCAGTCAGTTCCTCCTGGAAGATTCTGTGGCTGAGCCACCTCCAGACCGATGAGAGATGGAGAAGAAGAGGTAGAAGGTGGTGAGGATGAAGATCCAGGTGGGGATGAGGGTGGTAGGCACTGGGAGCTCTGGTTGGGCACAGCTGACTGCGGGCTCTGTGAGGGAATCTGGGCTGAACAGGAGCTGTTGTTGTTATTGTTGTTGTGCATGCTGCCCATTCCATTTTCAGTTAGAAACTCCTCCAAGTCCATATACTGAAGCTGGAAAAGGCCCCCATCCGCAGGCACAGTGCGATCCCACAAAAGAGGCCCCAGGAACTGGTTGAAGTTTCCTCCTCCATTTCCACCTCCTCCACAGCCATTACTGCTATTACTGTTGACTATTCCACTTCCATTCCTCATTGGGCACACTCCCAAGGAGTCCTCATCGAGGTCCAGTCTGTCTTTATCTGCCAGATGGGAATAAAAAGCAGACTTATTAGTGGAATATAAAAATGACGATGCTTACTTTTGGTGTCACTTTAACAGGTTTCAGTGGACAAGAAGGTGGCCTTGGGATAGTTCACGCTTCGGCTGCTTTATGCTAAAAATCAGCTCTTCGTATTTGCACAGAACTAAATGGCACTTCTACAAAATCCCCTTCTCCGCCTATCTCTCATACAATCACACACAGAAACACAGATGGGCCCAGATGGTAGCTGAATTGCAGCATTAACCAACAGCCAAAACCGATTTGCTGTCATAACGTATACACAAACTCCAGAACAAATCTCACAATAGCCAGGGATACATTTGGCAGAGAAAACGCACCCAGAACGCATGCTTGTATGGGTTTAGATTTACAGCTAAACCAAAGCATGTTATCACCCAGTGTAATCTAGATCCTAATTTGAAGTTGCATCAGGGATTATAATTCAGCTCATCTGGCCATGGTCACTGAGGAGTCATCCTGAGCACATGTCCTGGGGCATGAAACCTTTGTGGCCTTTACATATGAAAAATTACTAATAGTGGTACATATTTTTATACAACAGTAATAGTGGATGGAAAAGATTTATCCATGCTTTTCCACTGCGTAGAGAAGAAGGCAGATTATGCTGGTAAAGCAACACTTTGACCTTTTATTAATTAAATTCACAGAAGGGTCTCACCTTTCGAATCGCATGGGTTCTTTAAACGCTGGTCTCCTTTCATGGGGTGCTGCAGGAGGGATTTCAGACCTGCCATAGAGTTGAGGTGCCCCCCTGTCAGGGAGCCTCCAGGTTGAGTACAGCTTCCAAACTGTGGGCTTGCCCCAGCTGGGAGGTCTGGGGTCGGAAGCTGGGAGAGTTGCCTGGACATCCTGGACCAGACGGGTCGCAGAAATACACCTGGGGCACTTGAAAGGGCTAGGCGAGCTGACAGGAGTACCTACCAATGGGACAAGCAGGCTGGATGACTGTGGCTGTGAGCACAGGAGGGGTGGGGTGGTGGGCAAATACAAAAAGGTAGTTTTGAGACTTATCTATGCCGAATAGAGCATCTGTTATATTGTAATTACAGTCATGACATTGGCATGGCAATATGTCAGAAAGTTTAAATTACACACGCAAACTCTTACCTTTCACTTGTAGATATAAAGAGTTCTTTATTTCCCTGCAAAAATATTTTCCTCGAAGTACTCCATTGCCTTTGGATGTTGTAGATGAAGCTGTTATTCTCGGAGAACAGTGTGGGAGGGACAGTCAGACCATCTGATTAGGAATACTGTCCATAATAAAACTGCAAAGGCGTGAAAATTCCGCACACACACTTTGCACGCACAAGAAAAAATATTACAGTAAAAACTTGAAGAGCGATATCCCGAGTTAGTGGTGCGGTAATTTAAAAAGAAGTACTTATAATAATGAAAGAAGATCGCAGAGAGAGACTTCCTCCGTCAAAACAAAACTGTCGTGGAGAAAGAGGAGCATTAAAAAAAAACAGCCAGCGACGCGAGCTGTACGTGGTCAGATGACAAGTTGTATTGCTGCTTCTCTGCTGTCGCGCTCTGCTGTCCCTCGGTGGGGAGGGGGTGGTTGGAGAGGCTGGAGGGGGTCGTTTCCTCTTTCTGTCTGTACTTTTTTTTTCCCATCCGGTGGATCCAGTCACGGGCGCACGGGCTCGGATCTGTGTTTGGGCCGCGCGACGTACTCCTCCTCCTCCCGTTTCTCCCTTTCTCTCAGCTGGAATGGACACGGGCAGTTCACGTGACGTCACACCTCGAGAGAGGGGCGGGGCCCGGCTTTAACAGATCTCTCAATTTTCGCCTAAATTATTTATGAGGACACACCTACCCCTCGTGCCACACCTCGAGGGGAGCAGCAGGTTGTGTTGTTTTTCCCGACAGGTACAACCACAATTATTTTTGTAAAAAAAATAAAAATCAAACAAGAAGCAGGAAATATGTAAATTAGTCTCAGCGTCACCATGGTGATGGGAAAGAAACCATGAGAAACAGCTAACTGTGCTGTAAGCTGGGGGTTAATGGCGTTTAGGCTCGCGCTCTCCGTTGGAGCATAATTTGGCTTTCTCTAATATTCAGGCACTGCTGCATGACTTTTCCAGCTTCCTTGTAATCCACGGAAAACGTGAGTGCGCCGTTTTTTCAGGCGAGAGGAACGCTTCTGCACGTTGCCTGCCGGCGTACAATAGCAGCTCAGGCTCACGTGTATGAGGCACGCGGAGTCGAGGCCCGTCTGCTCACAGCTCGGGCACTGATAGGCCCGCGGAGAGCTGCTGCTCCGCCCTTGCGCCGGAGCCGATTGGGCAGAAATAGGTCGGACAAGCCCGCTCGCTCGGATTCCCTCCCGGTGCATGCTACTGCCGCGTGAGACCGAGCAGCTCGAAATACAAAAAAAGCGCGAGGGTTGTCTTGTCTACTGTACAAGTTGAAAAGCACATGCAAAACAATGCGTGCAGCAGGAATTCATCCCCTTTGATTTTTTTGCTCCAGAGTTAGACATGCAGAAGTTGACGTAAATAGATTACAGACAGACCAGCATACAAAAGACGCATTGAGTAATTGCATTTGAACAATATGCCCTGAAAATAAATAAGTGAATGCAACTGGAGGCAGGAGCACTGGAGGAGGAGGAGGCAGCCCTGTGTTCAGCCCTGTCCCGAGAGTCCCTTTTTTTTAATGATTATTTTTCCGAATTAACCTATCAGACTCCAGTCTTGTCCAGCTGTGTTCTCCCAAGATTATAACCACGTGTCACCCCCACATAAAAAATATCAGAGTGGATGAATCATCATTTTTTGTGTCTGCAAGCAAGCCAGATCATCAGCATGAATTAAAACTCACAACACTTAAAGAGTTCTTAAATTAAAAAAAAAAAAAAAAAAAAATATATATATATATATATATATATCTCTGCGGACAATTTATGCAAAATTAAATGCACAGAATGCACAGAAATCTGCTTATAAACCACATTAATTTCCAGAGGGGAAAAGGTGCTTTTAAATTAACTATGGGTTACTGAATCTGGTCGCTACAACAATCTTTTTTTGTTTCATTAATCTGGAGCAGACAGCCACACAGCACCAGCGTCTCCAGTCCACCCCCTATCGCTGTAAAATCCATGTGACTGCCACACTCATCCCCACCAGGCCAAGAGCACACCATAAATGAGTTGCTTACTGCCATCTTGTGGAGCCAGAAGTGAGTTTTGTTTTTGTTTTTTTCTCCCCACAACAGTCATATGTGCAAGCTTTGATCAGTAAAAAACATTCTTCATCCTGGAGGAACTTGGCTGATAACATTAGTAAGTCTAAGCACTTCAATGAGCTTTATTAGTGTACCTACATGCTGATAACCACTTAATCCAAAGATTCATGTGAACGTCATCCTTGACTTTCACATCAAGTCATAAATGCACTTTACATGCCCTTTCAGAAACAACTCGCTCATGTTCGATAACTAGCAGTTTTTACCATTTCCTGGATATTGCAGTAACTCTGAATCAGAAATGAAAGGAAAACAAATAATTACACTTAAGGTTTATTCATTGCTGAAATATAATCAACTACTGACTTCTCAGTAAATAATGTGATAGAAATCTACTAAAACTATTATTTTTCTTTAGAAGAAAAAAAAAACAAGGCTTGACAGGGGTATGAACATTTCATATGTGTGAATAAAGTGACAAGATGTATTTTGAACTTATTTTTCTTTAAAAGAAAAAAAAACAAGGCTTAACAGTAAGAATATGATTGCAGCTCAGCAAAAAGTAAAAAGGTAGAAGGGGTAAGTATAAGATTGGCATGAAGACTGATTGGGTTACACACATAAATACATGGAATATTACATTTGTTTCTATCATGATAGGTCCTTGTTTTAACACACCGTGAAGTACTGTAGAAATAATCACTGCTAAAAAGAGCATACAAATAACATGAGATAAACATGTGTTACAGTCCACTTGTTTAACCTGTTTTCAATCTCTTGGTATAAAAGCTAGGAAGATCTCAAATAAATGAAGTAAAGTGAACATCATAAGCAAGGCTTCTTGTAAGTTTTTCGTCATTTTGGCAGGAGAGGGGTCCTTGTAATGCTAATTACCAGCAACGTTGACATTTTATCTATGTGTGATTAAATCACTAGGGAATATAGAGCAACTTTCAAATCAGGTTTACACTACAAACTTCTGGGGATATACTGAATAAACCATCACATACTGTAGGAGTGATTTCACAACCTCAGCAAAAAACTTGACCAGAGAACAAACATGCACTGACAAACTATCAACAAAGGTCTTTGTCCCCGTGTCCCTACTCCTAATAAATGCACTTTACATTTTTAAAAAATCCTCAGAGCCTCTAATTGAACAACAACAAGACAAAATACACAGCAGAGACGTTTATCATACAGCAAGAGGTGTAGCGGGGCTTCTAGTTATGGGTAAGAGATACATTAGCAGGTCATTTCACCTAAACTGCTCTAGTAACTGCACAGTGTCAGCCAAGCATAGTGTCAATGCACTTAAGGGGTTAATTAATGATCCTATGGAAACAGTCACGTCTTTGAAAACACCTTCCAACATAATCTGGAAGAATTTCTGGAGATATTTTATAGGACACTCTACAGTAGTTGTTAACACACTCATTCTAATAGTCAGCAGAGTAGATGCAACAGAGACACGAGGCAAATTTTCCTTAAGGCAGCAGATGCCTTTTCAAGTCCCTTTTTTTTCTCTCACTTCCTATTTTAGAACTGAAACATCCCTCTTGTATGCCACTCTCTTCAGAAACCAGGAAGCTCAGTATCTGTATGGTCCCTGTAGGAATGGCATCTCCTCATGACCCTCACGGGTCTGTCTTTCTCCCGGTCTTTTTGAAAGCTTCAGCCTCTTAGCATCTCCCCTCTGCAGTCCTTTAGCCCTGCGGCGGCAGGACACTTTGTGCCTGTGAAGAAGGGTAGCGTTCCAAAAGCGAGCTGAGCAGCGTCGGCAGGAGAAAGTCCCTCTGGCACGGTGGGAAGCCCGATGAATGAAGACTGCCAAAGGCCTGTAAGACTGCTTCCCACACACACTGCACCTAAGTCGCTCCTGAGTGCTCAAGGCTTTTTGTGGGTGTTTAACTGCCATGTGGACAAGCAGCCCCGCTTTACGGGAAAACACAGAATTGGGGCATATTGGACAGCCAAAACGTTTCACAGGAACTTTGAGAGATGACAGGATCTGCACTTTCATTCCACCAGTGTTGACAAGCTTATATCCACCACCACCTGATCCTCCTCCTCGCCTAATTGTCAAACGAAGAGAGCCTTGTTTTTTATTCAACTGCCCTCTTATTGTACAACTGATCTTTCTCTTTCGTTTGATTTCATCAAATCTGACTAAATCTTGAGATTCCCATTTATTTCCCTTCCAATCTCTCCTGTTGGACTTTTTTTTTTTCTTCTTGTGTCGTCTCATGTCATCGTGCGACGACTGGACGTCGCAGTCGAGGGTTTGGTGGGGCTGGGTGCCTGACTGATGATGGGGATGATGGTGGGAGTGATGATGATGGTGATGCAGATGATGATGTTCAGTGGAGGGCAGTTCCGTGAGGGGCTGGAACGGGGCCGTGGTGTGAAGAGTTCGGCTACGGGATCCAGCTGGATATATGTGTTCTCCTTTAACTCCGGCTGGAGAATGCGGGTGTTGCGGGGGCATGACTGTAGAGTTGGGAGGAAGTGGCTGAGAGTAAGCTGGTGCCGCAGAGGCAGAAGACTGAGTAGCTGCAGCATCATAAAAGAGGGGAGAATAACCAACTGGTGGCTGTGGGGGTGCTTGTTGGTGGCTATGAGTGACAACACTTAGACTTTGCCCTCCGTGGCCTTCGTTGGAAGGTGCCATCTGAAGCAGTGCATTCGTGGCAGCCTCACTCTCAGAGGTTGACTGATTAACATCACTCCCACCTCGGTTGTCTCCAGACCCACTGTTGCTTTCTTGTGGGTTAGACTGTTCAGGGCGGGTCATGCCATGCTGAGACTGCTTGTGTCGAGTGAGGCTGTTAGAGTAAGCAAACGCTTTCCCACACACCTCACAGCAGAAGAGCTTTTCACCCCCACCTTCATGGACCGTCTGGTGATGGGCAGTCAAGTGAAAGTGGTGACGGAACGACTTCCAGCATATAGCGCAGGTGTAGAGTCGAGGTGGCGGCGGGGGCTGTGGTTGGGGTGGGGGAGGAGGCTGCGGCTGGGGGTTGGTGTCTTGAGGCTTGACGTCTTGGGAGTAGGGATAATAGGAGGAGGTGCTTGGTGCTTGGTTCTGGCTCCGGTCTTGGGCCACGCTACATTGAGGATTTGGGTTAAAGCTGTTAAGGTTCTCTGGAGCCGGTGTGGTGGGCACCTCTTCCATCTCCCCTTTCTGGTGGAGTTTACTGTGCCTCCTGAGGCTCTGGGAGTAACCAAACTCTTTCCCACAGATGCTGCATTTGTAATTCTTTGCCCCGGAGTGGACTGTTTGATGCTTGCTGAGGTGGAAAGCTTCTCTGAAATACTTCCCACAAACAGTGCAGTGATGGGGCTTCTCTCCTGTGTGGATGCGATCGTGCCTGCGCAGGGTCTCGCGGCGTGCAAATCCCTTACCACAGACACTACAGAGGTGAGTGCGTGGGAGCCCACTGGGGCCCATTCTGGGGGTGTACTGCCTACGTTTGGGGGGCTGTCCGCCAGCTGCAGGATCTTTCTTAGCTCTTGGTTTGCGGGGACGTTTTGGTTTGGCAGTAGGATTCTGCGGGTTGCTGCTCATAGCCTCTTGACTCCCACCACCTCTGAAATTCTTATCCATACCAGATGTGGATGAAGGTGAGCCCAGAGGTCCTAAACCAAGACCACCTAGCAGACCTCCTATGATGTCTCCCCTGTCATCCCCTCTATTTCCACTGTTACTAGCTGCTGTTATAGCAGAGATTGCATTATTCACAGAGCTAGTGACATCATCTTCTGAGTCATCCAGTAGAGAAGAGAGGGGCAGGTGGGGCTGTTGCTGCGGATGGTGGTGCTGGTTGTGGGTCTGTGAATGTGGATGCAGTGTTGGCGCCAGGGGTGCCTTTCTCAGAGCTGGGCCCGCCATCCCACTTCCACATGGGGAGGCACCAGAGTAGCATGGAGATGGATTACCTTGAGAACGGTGGTCATCATGGTAGCCTGTGTAACGATTCCGAGAGTAGTCAGTGGGGTATTTACCATCTGCTCTGTCCCTGTCATTTGAATTCCCTCCCCTTCCAGAATGAAACAGACCATCACATCCTAAACCTGATTTTGGTTCTCCTTCCCTCACAATGATTACACCATCCTCTTCCTCAGTTTTCCCATAAATAACCCCTCTATTGCTTTGATAAGTTCCCCCTCCTCCATTACCTCCTCCACCCCCTCCCTCGACTCTGTCCTCACCATCAGTTCCTGTCTTGCTGCCCCGTTGTTTGGGTCCCCTACCTGGCTTGCCGCAGGTGCCTGAGGCAGCATGGTTGAGTAGAGAGGTGCTCTCACGGAAGGCACGACCACAGGCGGGACATCGGAATGGCTTTTCCTCATGTATCTTCTCATGCCGTGTCAGTGACTCTCTACGATTAAAAGCCCGAGAGCAGGTGGAGCAGCCATATGGGCGGGCTGACGAGTGTATAACACCATGTTGCAGGAGATGCCCTTTTTTCTTAAAGCCTTTGCCACAATCAGGGCAATGAAATATTTTGTCTGGGCTAGAACAAGAATTGGAAGAGGGTTGGGGAGGTTCTTGGGTCGAATGGGGAAGGCTTGGATCAGACTGTGTTTTTATGTGAACAGGGTTTGGGCCAGTAGTGGCAGTATTGCTAGTACCTGCTGCGGTTGGCTCATGCATGCGCATATGCCTGCGAAGGCTTGAAAGTTGAGGGAAGCTTTTGCCACACTCTCCACAGCTATAAACTGGCTCTGTGTCAGACTCTGTGGTGTTGGGTTGCATTGAGCTCTGGTTATCAGATTTAGAAAGGTGAGAATCATTAGTAACCAGTACTGAGGCAGCAGTGGAAGACGGAGCAGAGGAGGAGGAAGAAGAAACTACTGATGAGGATGAAGATGATGAGGCAAGCAGGGATGACGGTTCTCCACCCATGTTTGACATACCCACCCCGCTCCCAATTAAAGCTGGCGGCTGACCATGATTTAGCCCCCCGTTACTACTAGTGCTGGGATTACCACTGTGGCTACTGTGCCCATGGTTGCTACTGCTACTACTGTTGTCAGATTTTCTCTGTGGCAAATAGCCGGCCATAGCTTTCTTCCTCCTACTGCTACTGCTGCTGCTATTACTACTTCCACCTCCGCTGCTTTCCCCTTTACCGTCATCCTTAGACAAGGATAAATGAAGCGGCAAAGGTAGGGGCAAACCTGCTTCCTGCTGCATCAGAGAAGCTATCTGATTTGACGATAGTACAGGAATGCCCTGGAAGTCAAAGCCGCCCAGCGATGAGGGCTGAGAGCCTGGGTGGAGAGGGTGATGAGGATGAGAATGAGAGTGAGGATGAGAAAGGGTGTGCGGTGGAAGCTGCTGCTGCTGGGGTGGTTGCTGTGGAGTCTGCTGTGGCTGGGGAGTAGAGTGGCCATGAGTGTGAGAAGAGTGCAAAGCAGGAGGCGGAGCAAGGCTAGTACTAGGCTCCCCGCCTGTCTGACTTAAGCCAATGCCTAAATGGTTATGAGTTCCCTGTTGAACAAGAAACTGTTCTAAACTAGCATTAGCAGGCACCCCAGAAAGAAAATACTGATTAGCGGCTAACATGCAACTAAACTGTTGATGAAGGCTCCGTGCATCAGACTGGGCCCCAACCAACTGGTGTCCCAATGAGCTGACTGCACTGCTGCTAGAAGGGTTATTAGAGGTTGCCACAGAGGTTGAAGGGGAAGGAGAAGAAGAGGAGGGGCCAGGTGATGCCTGGGGGACAGAGAGGCCGGGATGCAGAGGAGGGGGGGGTGGAGGTGCTGATGTTACTAATCCTCCTAATCCCCCAGCGCTCCCACTACTGCTACTTCCCCCAGCAAAGTGCTCAAAGCGGCCTACACCTGGGTGTAACTGCTCCTGTGCTAGTGCTGCCTCAGACGGGTGGAAAGAGCGCAGGAACTGTGGATAGCCTGAAGAATGGCTTGAGCTGCTGCTGCTCATCTTGCTTGACTTTGAACGAGAGCTCTGAGATGAGGAAGGCTGTTGTTGTAAAGGTGGGGGAGGAGGGGCACTCATCTTGGCAAAAATGGAGGCAGAATCAGAAAAGGCGTTACCTCTAGACCCCTGCAGGGGGCCCAAGCCAAGTCCAGACAGAAGAGCTCCAGGGGACTCAGCCTGCTGCTGCTGCTGCTGCTGGAGTTGATGCTGGTGAAGCTGCACTTGCTGCTGATGCTGTAGTTGCCGATCTAAACCAAGGCCTTTGAATTGGTGGGCCTGGTGCCCACTTAACATCTCTATAATGTCCAGATTGTATTTTCCAAATTGGAACATTTCCCACTCACTGGCACATGGGGATGCAGGTGCCAAACCTCCAGCACTAGGGGCGGCGAAAATGATCCCACCACTGACTGGTGAAAGACAAACTTAACCCTAAGGGTGAAACTAACCTACAACTTCTTTTTCAAGAAATACTTAAATGATAGCTTAAAACTAAAAGTTCGTCTCTCCAGATTGTTTAGGTCTGGTGCTGCTACTCTCTGTTGATCATCCACTGCCCACGCACTACTTCCAAACTGAGAGGGGTAGCCGAGACGACAATCTGATGATCAGACGGTAAAACGTGTCTTTTGGCAGGTAGATAAGATCCACCTAATTTTAAAACTTGCTTAGAATAGTTTTTATTGAGAAGCAGTTCAAATGACGACTTCTTGTTTCCTTTACTGCGCTCCTTCACCTAAGCAAGATTCCTCATCGGTGTTCAGCCAAGAAGTTCCTACAGCTGAAAACACAAAATCAAACAGGAGTGAAAGTCATAGCATTACTACACAGTCTATAAATGTATTTAAAATTCACTTATGCCCCTTCTATAACAGTCCTTTAATTTATTGAGGTGAATTTGTACATGCTTAAATCTCAGCCTCAAATTAAACTGCAGCAATACACAGACTATAGTGAGGATGACACAACCCACCAACCTGACTTTAAGTAGCCTTTACTTTTAATAAATATGGCATTTATACCTAAAGTGAATACTTCTTATAAATGGAAACATTTAGTTGAGATGTGACCAATACACAACTACTGCTGTTAGGCTGGAAAAGTGAAGGTTTCTACTGGTATTAGGAAAAGAATCAATTAACAAATCAAGCTTAGCATTTCACAGCTACTGAGCAAACTATTAAATACATTCAACATTTTACAATTTGTAATGACTTACCGGTATGTAGTTCTTGTGGACTGCAGCACAACTAGAATTGCTGCATAAAGGCCAATTCCTTTATTATTAGACTCATAATTGCTACAGAAGACAAAGTTATTTTTTAAGCATTTTTAGTGTCTATGCTTACGGGTGCACGGTATGAAACTAGGCAGATTTTTATCTAACCCTTTAACCCTAACATGCTGCAGCAGTTTGTGAAGAATCTCGTGTGTTTTACATTATGAATACAGCATTTGCGTCTCTCTAATAACAACAGTTACTCAGGAAGATGTAGAGAGAGAGACGTGTGGCAGTGTTCCACGAAAAACCACATCACACAGCAGATTTCTTGGTTCTGGTTAAGAGCAGGTGTGTCTGTGTGTAAAAACTGGTTGTTTTGACTTCTTAAAGCCTTACATGACACGGATTATATGTTATTTTTACTGACTACTTGAGTAAAGTGACTTCTCTCCACCAGTGGTGAAACAACAAAGACATTTTGCATTACTTTTAACCTACACTACTTAGACACTAGCCACTTCTTGCTATATTTTACCATGTGTTCTGTAAGAATTCACAACTTCAGTAACAGTTTTCGCATTGCAATCTCTTTTACATAGCGCAAGAAAACACGAGACGGCGTTTATTGTAAACGTACAGTCAAATGTAAAACTGAGTACACAACATGATTCAGTAGCTTGTGGTGCCACCTTTAACAGTAATAACTTTAAGTAATCATCAGTATGCGCTCATCAGTCTCTCACATTATTGTGGAGAAATTTCAGCACAATCTTTATTACAATATGGCTTCGGTAGGTTTGTGGGCATTCATTTAAGCACAGCTCTCTTGAAGTTGTGCCACAGCATTTCAATCATGTTGAGCTCTGGACTTCGGGCAATTGCAACTAGGGCTGCCACGATTAGTCGGCTAGTCACGATTATGTCGGCTATCAAAATCACTGACGCGTCGTTTGAAGCTTTGTAAGATCCCAAAAGACGCAGGAATAAGTAGCAGGATTTAAGAGTGTAATAACGGACTGAAACAGAAGATGGCAGCACTGCATGTACAAGGATGCCAGCTGCCGTTAAACCCCGAAGAAGAAGAAGCAGTGTCCGGTAACGTAGCTGTGTCCAAATTTAGGAACCGCATCCTCCTGTGCCCGCATTTGTAGGCCAATTACGTTACAGCGACACGACGAAGACTGTACAAATTCGAAGACTCCAACAAATGCGCCCTTCATTTCCCCAGATTTGAAGGATGGGTTGGTGTATACTTCGTGGCCCAACCTATCCCAGAATTCATAGCGTGGCCTTGCTCAGTTTCCATCAATGGCGGCAGCTAGTTAGTTTTAATATTACTCTTATTATTCTTTCTGGGTCACAAAATAAATGTTTAATAGTCGACTAATCGCAAAAATAATCGGTGACTAGTCGACTATCAAAATAATCGTTTGTGGCAGCCTTAATTGCAACGCATTGATTCCTTCCTTTTTAAGCTGGTGTGCTTGGGATCATCGTCGTGCTGCAAGACCCAATTTCAGCCAAGGACAGGTGGCCTCACGTGTGACTCTAGAATACTTTGGTATACAGAGGAGGAGTTCATCAACTGAATGGCTGCAAGGTCTCCAAGTTTTGTACTTGAAAAACAAACCCAAATCTTCAACCCTTCACCACTGTGCGTGACAGCTGGTATGAGGTGTCTGTGCTGATACTCTGTGTTTGTTTTCCACCAGGCAATGTGTAAACACACACCTGAATGACAGACCAGAAAACTGCCAAAATGTCTGCTTTTACAGCTTCTTACCCTCTTAATTCCTATGGATACAGTAAGGGTGTACTTAGTTTTTCACAGGACTAGTACGACTCATTAAATCGCTCTTGTTCTCATGGCTGCATTTCAGAAGGTTTCAGGGTTTTCAGTAGAACTCAATCCTTGTGATAAGAGAAACTTCAAAGATGCAAATTAGATACAAATTAATTTAATGAGGTTATTCACTCTTAAGAATCCTTTTAAAGATAAGTTTCTGTATAACTTGAATCATTAGACACATGGGAGCCTGTTAGCCAATTATCAAGACTTCACTTTCCAACATTAAACTATTCCATCATTTAAATGCAAATAAAACTGCTTTGCAAAAAAATTAAATTTTCATTCAAATTTGGCAATAAGTCATGCACGTTTTAGCCCCAAAATGTACAAAACCAACAATGCTGACTTAGATATTTTAATGTTATTGTGTCAATTATCACACAATTCAAATGTTAGTTTTAATCTTAAAGGTCCATGAGCAGGTTATAATATACATAAGGAATGTTTTTAAAAAGATTAATAGTAATGATCAATTACCTGAGCAGGTATGATGGATGTAATTACACAGCAACAGTAGGTGTATAGTACCTTAATACAGATCAACAGGGTGGCTGATCTGCAGATACATACATATATTTCTTATTAGCACTTTTATTTTTACTTCTTTACGCTTTATGTGATTTTCTTGTGCCTCGGGTAGCAATAAACTTAAACCAGTCTAACCTCCACTACCAACAAGCATGGGCACAATCTGCATGGCTTATTAAAACAAGTAGGCATAAATGGACGTTGCAATAAAAAAAATAGTATGAAGTTGTTCCAATTTATTCGAATACTTGGATGGCTTAACATGAACTGTCTACGGCAGATTCACTCACTTTGCTCACCTCTTAAAAAAATCTTACCGTTTCCTCTAATTGATGCGATGAAGCTAGAGGGGAGTGAGCTCCCCGGGCAGATGAGGAAGATAATCTATCGCACATTTGACTGCCTCTCATTTTATAATGCACCTCGGCAATCCTGTAAAGAAGGGCAGAAAATGCTCAAATTAACACAGTGTCGCTGTACAGTGTAAACATTAGCAGTCCGTTACAGGCGCCAGTTATAACGGATGCACTTGAGGTGGCATCCTGAAATAGTATTGGCTAACATTTGGAGGAAAGTGCGGGGAAGAAGGAAAAAAAAAACACACACACACAGAGAAAACATTGGAAGCGCTTGCATGCAAAACTTCACGGTTCTCCTTAGCATCGTATTTTACACTGGCTCGGCGTGTTTAGCTGTTTGCTGCCACACACACGCAGTCTACAAAACCACATAACCGACCGACCGCTAATGTTAGCCGTCATTTTAAACCACAAAAATACAGGCACGCCGACTGCCGTTAACACTGTGATGCTAGCGTTAGCATATACATCTGCGTAACCTATAATCGGCAAATGTTTACCTACGCATCCAGTTGCAGGGCACAGTTGCAGACGGATGAGGCCTGTCACGCCTTCTTCTAACCGCCTAGCTAGCTATCGTCCGCTTCCATTTCTGCGTGCTGTTTTCCAGTCGTTAGCCAGAGCCATTTTCACTGATGCTGAGCTGGGTGAACGCTTGCACAGTTCCCCCCAAGAAATCGACGCCGACGGGTACCGCAGCCGCCTCCTCGCCATTTGATTACGACATGTTGCGCTGTCAGTGAGCTTTTGCTTGATGTTTCGGCGGCCGAGAAAAATTAGGATGCTCGGTGATAATATTTTTGGGTAAAAGTGAGTGACGTGTGCTCCCTTAACATTGGTCCTTTCCGGCCCTTGTAATATTTCCGGGTAGCAGCAGCGGGGCTCACAGACGGCGGTTTAGGGCTCACAGCGGATTCAGCACCTTTGGTTGCATGCTGGGCTAAAAGATGAGCATTTTCACATTGCCTGCTACATCAGGGTACAGACCCTGTGTCATTGTATTACAAGTTATCAGTATCCGTGAAGCACTTTACCCCCCCCAAGCTCCAATATGCATGCCTTGGAGGCCTAGAAATAGTTATTATGTTATGCTACACAGGGCATTGAAAATATATAAAATTAAGTGAAATTAAAAAAAAATATTTTCCCACTGGTGATTTAAGCTGCTATGATTTTGTGGATTTTTCTCCAGCTGTCCTGCAACCTTAAAATTGGATGAGCGGTTAAGAAGATGGTAAATGAGCCGGTACTTATGTAATGCTTTTCTGCTCTATTTGAGCACTCAAAGCATTATCTTACTGCAAGCCTCATTCACACACAGGCTTTTTCTATACCAAAGCACTTTTAACATCAACTAACCTGCAGAGTGGGAGAGCTGTCAAACCAACAGCCCTCTGATTGGTAGATGATGTACTCCATCTCAAGATCTACAGCCACAGGTGGATAGATGAAACTAAAACGTTTGTTCCCACATCATTTTATTTTTCTGCTTACTTTTTGTTAACGGTATAAATCTTGGCATGTATCTTTTTTGCAATTTTTTTAAAAACAAGGCAAAATCAAAATAAAGAAACAATTAAAAAAAAACACACAAATATATAGAAAACTTAAGTGCAGTCTCAAAAACATGTAGATTACAGATCAGAGTGACTCTACAGAAACGCTAAACATTCACACATTTAGTTTTTTGGACTAAGCTGTATTTAAAATCAATTGTCAGGATTTAGAAATGCTTTTAATTTTCTATATTTTCTATATTTCTATACAAATGTAGAGGGTGACAGAAGGGGATGCTAGGGTTAGGGTAAGATTGAGGGAGGTGAACTGAAGTGGCGACCCCTAACAGGAGCAGTCCAGTGTTTTACCTAATTTGTCTGGATGTGTATTAAGGTGTATAAAAGCTGTACTGCTGATGATGATTAATACCTGCAAGAGGTGGTTCTTTAAATACTTTGCTCTCAGATTCCAGGCTTATTTGTGATTTCTAGGGTGTTTAAAAGTAGAACTCAGCTTCAGCTTTCAGGCCCCACACTATTGCTACTATTAAGATCAGGCTTAAAGCTTTCCTCTTTAATGAAGCATATATTTAGGGCTGGATCCTGAATCCTCCATTAGTTACGCTGAAATAGGTCTAGGCTGCTGGGGGATTCCCATGATGCACCATGAGTGTTACTCCTTCAGTCACTTTCTTCACTCACTATGTGTTTACACACTCCTCTGCTGGAGGTTTCTTCCTGTTAAAAGTGAGTTTTTCCATCCCATTGTCGCCAAAGCACTTGCTCATAGGGAATTATGTGATTGTTGGGGTTGTCTCTGTATTTTATTGTATTATTGTACCATCTTTACCTTAAAAATATAAAGCATTTTGAGTTAATTGTTGTTGTGATTTGGCACTATATAATTAAAATGTAATGTAATTGAATACAGTCAGCTTGCAGTTTAATAGATCTGCAGCTGTAAGCTTGGCAGAGTCAAATAACTGACTGTATACTGAGTAAATACGTCTTAAAGGCATTTTTTCCCCTCTATCTCAACAACAAATCTGCACAACACAGTTCAGTGTTTGATTGCCAACAATAGGTCGGGGGTAACTAAGCTATTTAATAATGTTTAGTAGTTACCAAATCTGTGCAAAACAGTGAACTTAGGAAGCACATCCTCAGACTAAATAATCATTTTATTATTCTTTTCAATTGATTCAGTTATCCAAGTCACAAGAGGGGTGAGTAATTTCACGCCTCTCTGGGTTTTAACAGTTTTAACCAGTGTGGTTAAAACTGAGCAAAGAATCTCTTATGATCAGTGTTTGCAGTTTAGATATTAATGTAAATTTATCTAGCTCCTCGTTAACTTCTCATCATTTATAGGAAACAATATATATTTTTTACTGTTTTTACAATGTTTGCTGTTGCCGTGCAGATTAAAACTGAAATGACTCAGGTTGACATATGTCACAGAATACACTACAGTACATAGTGCTACAAAATGCACTGTAGTTAGCTTCAGACATTATTGGATGTGTTTTCAGGTTATCTTTTTCTTGCCATCTTTGTGTATTCGAGATCATCAGGTGTGCTGTGCTGAGATAGAGCTCATATACAGCAAATGTCGTCATGTGAGTACTGTAGAAGTCCGTATTATGACTCAGCTTAGTAAAGAGAATCTATTTTTTAATTCTGCAAGTTTCGATTGCAGTTGCAAAAACCATCAACCGCTGTGGAGAAACTGTCTTTTATGCGAATCTCCCCATCAAAGAGGAAGAAGAGCAAGAGCTGTTGAGTCTGTTGGAGCAGCAAAGCTCATTAGAGTTACCAACCTGAGAAGTCACCAATTAACACCACCTCAGATTAGATCCCACATCAATGGTTCCCAGTGCTGAAGTAGGAAAACCACATCAGCATCAACTCTTTGCGTGAATTAGAGATAAATTGCTCCACAGAAACTACTGCTGAAGGAGAGCAATTAAGAGAATTGCTTGGGACAAGCAACAAGAGGACTGGACATAAAGAACAATGGAAACAGAAAATATCTGTATGAGTAGTTTTCTCACTAAATTTTGAAGGAGTGAGACTATAATTTAAATATCTTTTAAATAGAGTGATTCAGATCACACGTGCAGACTCTACAAGGTCTGTTTGACCATGAACAGTGATTGGGTGGCCCATGAGATGACCTCTACAGTCATGTGACCTAAAACTAGCTGAGATGCTTTGGAATTAATTGAATGGCACCTGAAAATCCACCAGTGGGAATGCTTTCAACACCTGCAAAGCCTCCAGGTGATGATCTGAAGCAGACATAGCCAAATGTGAAAAAACTGATAAAGACAAACAGTAGTGACTTTGAAACTTTGAAGATGTAAACAAAATATGAAACATATTTTTGTTTCTTTTCATTCCTGCATACCTAATATGCACATGTAACTGTTTTTGGAAACAGTAAAAATAAAGGAAGAAAAATGAGTGAGTCACAGTGTTCAAACCTTTTCACAGGTACTTGTTTATGGTGTGTTAATATGAGTTTTGAGAGGCGTTGGACAGTTTGGGCAGTGCATTTACTGATATCTACAAACAGTCAGATGATATTATGTTCTGTGTTTTGTTTTTGTCAGTCCCGTGTAAAGCAACAGAAATAGCTTTAAGGGTGAGTTACAGTCTGACCAAAGCCTTCTTGCACAGCTCATCCTGGAGCCACTGAACCTCCTGGTGGTGAAATGTGCAAACTACGACTCTGACGCATCAGAGGCAGATAGTGCTTAAATCAAACATAATCATTTTTGTGCCCCTGCAAGAATTATTTCTGTGTCAGCACGGTGGCTGTTATCTGCCCCTTCATACATCTCAGTGCAATAAATGTATTCACAGGAGGTTTTAAATATGAGCTGCGGAGCCCTTGTTTCACCATAGGAATCCAGCACGTCCAGCAGTGATATAACTTTGCAGCCCAGACGATCTCGAGCTGTAAATTATACGAAAACAATTCCACCTTTTTCATTTTATTTAAAAGTGCAGTTGTCCGCTCCCAGTAGCACTGCATAGCCATACTGCAACTTATATAACATCTCACAGGCAGATGATATGGGATTTTATTATACAACCAGTCTGTGTGCTCACTAACCTACTGAACACTAAAAGGGCCTTTTTTTTCCAAATATAGGAGGCGCTTTTAGTTTGACTCCTTATAAAACACCAGTTTGCCTTATGATTACTGTTATGATAACCCATATTTATTAACATACTGATGCTGAGCAAGCCACTGGTGTCAGATCTGGTTATTATCCTAAAAGTTTGACTCACAGATTGTTACAAATCAATAAATAAATACACTTCAGTGACAGAAGCAAGCTTCCATAGCAGTGTTTTATTTCTACTCCACTAGATTTGATCAGGTTACTAGTTACATGCAGATTTTACGTGAGACACAATAATCTGTCGCAGTTATATAATATATAGTGCAATGTTATACTGTAAATATGTCAGAGCAGATATTGTTTATGATAATAACACACTTGACATTTTCATCGTCGGAGACTGTTTTTATATTGCACTATTAAGACGTTCGTGCAGGTAAGAGCTCTGAAAACAACTGAAAAGTAGCTCGTTTATCTAAACTACAGAGCTCATTATTCACACCTTGGCTTAGATATGATTTCATTGTGCACCCAGTGAGCACACACGTCAATGTGATATATTGCTAAGTCTTAAATAGGTTTGAGAAAACAGGCACTCGAGGGTGTTTGTAGGTATTATGAAGTGCTTTGAAATGCAGAGGAACAATGTTTACCTCGGGGATTAATAAAGTATCATTTGAAACCCAAGTGCGATGCTGATAACTCGGTTTACGGTGTTAATGTATTTACAAGGAAACTGAATGCTGCTCATCTTTAACATGTCCCATGCTGAGATGATTGGGAATGGAGATTTTTTTTTCTTATGATTTAATGACAAAAGAAAAAGTTGGGAAGCACTTTAAAGTATGGTGCAGGTGAAGTCCTGAATTCACCCAGACAGAAGAGTTGAAAAGACGAGCATTAACGCAAGAAAAGAATCTGTTTTTTTTTCCCACCAACTTTATTATACAAATTCTTTGTAAGTCACTGTCGTATCCAAGGGGATCAATGCATTAAACAATAACAAAAGGGTCGTTTCGAAATTTATAGGCGTCAAAATAAATCCATGAATTTTTTTTTCCCCAATACTGGACACTGTCCCTGTCCGCTTCAGATGGCCATTAAAGAATCCGCACTCTAAATGAATTCATAATGGCTAAAAACACACACCATATTCATTCATTTCCTTCTGAAAAGGAGCTTTTCAGCTTCACTCGGCTGTCTATTCGCTCTCCTCTGTGAAAAAAGTAAATAACCCCTGTGGCCATCTAGGAGGGTGTGACGATAAAAAGACAACAAAATGTTATGAGTTTGGCACTGTACAGATCATTAAATACTAACACAGAATTTTTCTGAATCTTCAAATTAATGCCGAAGAGATCACTTAAAATATTCTGATTGTACTAGCTATACAAAATACAATACTTGCACAAATTAGATTAACCATTTATAAAATTGTGATAATGAGCTTCGATGGATATGGCTTGTGAGATATTACAGACTTTGCTACAGACCTTTTGTGGCTCTATTAAAAAAGTCTAACACTACTGTATGTCACCTGTCCTATTTCCCTGAAAAAGACACTGCACTCAAAGCAATCAGGTTTCCATTAGACGCCTGTTTTGTCTCCAACCTGTGTAATAAACATTCATTCGATACATACATACATTATGGCATCATGGGTTCAGCGTGTACAACCCATTTTTAAGTTACTGGGGCAGGCTGCCGCAGAGGAGACAGCAGACTGCGTGTGATGTTAAAATCACTTCTGGCCCATCCCAAACTCATCTATCCCTCGCCGTCATCTACGCGTACGTTTAGAAGGCTGCAGATTATTCAATACCAGAGTGGAAACCTAAGTAATCACTTAAGATCAAGAAGTCATAAGGCCGATGTCTAGGCACAGTACATACAGCTGGAAAAATGGCCATAAAGGCATCAATGACCCTAAAATCCAGGCATCCTGTAAAAATGCCTCTCAATGAAATGGAGCTGGCATGCATCAAGATTTGGAATGTCTTAAAAACTCGAGTTTATGACCAGATGTATGAAAAACCAACTAGTCGCGAGAATGCTAGTTATCTAAAAACAATAAACACTTAAATCCCACCAAGTAAAAGAACATCACATCGTAAGATAATTGTTAATAATAACCATAACAGTTATAATAATTATTAATAATAACACTCCATCATATTCATAACAATTACATTTAGCACTGTGTGTAGGAAGATTGTCCAAATGTGTTTCTGTTTATCAGAATTTCATCTCTGTAGCTTTTCCACATGACTGAACACAAAGAAAAAGAAAAAAAGAAAAGAAAGCCGGCGCAAGTTCGTTCTTTGATCGGCGTTATTACCGACGATTTCTGTTTAAAAAAAGCAAAAGAAAAAAGAAAATCCTCTCTCAGTATAATACCTTCCATTGATTGGTCACACGTTCAGCCGTGCTTGTACAGAATGTAAACCTTGAGGACACGATACAAAGTGTGCTTGTATCTGGTGCAAATATCAGGGGCTAGATTTGTGCAAAGTTTAGTCTCTGATTCTCGTTGAACTGTGCTTAAATTTCTCTTGTTTTTTTGTACACATTAATACTTAATACATCATGACAATATCAACACAAAATCAATAGAAAGAGATAGCATTTTATATGGACCACAGATATCACATACTACAGTATATAGGATAGCCCTTAGTATTGAAAAGCGTTGTTATTGATGAAGATTTTTTTTTTTCCGTTTCTGTTTTTTTTTTTTCATACTGGCTGAAGTGCGTTATGATACAGCAAGGTCTTTGTCTTGAAGATGGGAAGGGCTTCCTAACCATCCGAGTCTCTTGTATGGCACACTGGAGCCGCGCAGGAGAGGACCTCAGGTCGCCCTCGCTCTTGACTCTGAGGGTTTCGGCTTGCTCTGAAGCCAATCCTTCTGTCTGTACAAAATGTTGCTGACTTTTTAATAACTTGTCACCTGGTGATAATAATTAAATGGTGATTGTCAGACCAGCTTCCTGTGTGGGATTTTCTTTGTATCTCCATAAATGGCTTGTAAGGACAGTTGTGTAAGTGCAACCTCTGCGTCATGGTCTATCGTTTGTGCTCTGTGGAGAAGCCTCTGCTCTTCGTTAGAGCGAGTTGCCTCTTTATTGGTAAACTGAACACATACGTCTGTTCTTTTATCTCTTGATTTTGTATGTGTATGTCAAGAATTTTTGGAACGCCGTGACTGATGGCTCTATAATATTTGGTAGCCCGTTGTGTTTGTTTTTTTCAAACAGGTAGGTCCTGATCTATAGATGAAAACATTGAGAAAAACTCACCCATAATCTTATATCAGCTTACGCTCCCGTAGTGTAACGGGAACTCACAATGAGATTGTGAGTTCCTCTGGAGGTTTAATCTAAGGTCACATGGAAAAGTAGGCAACCCATGGAATCAGATCAGTAATGTGGATACGTCCTCAGTTCCTGTCGGGCGGTGGCGTTGTGTCAGACTGCTGCGTGTCGCTCAGAAACAGAGCCCGTCTTGTCCTCTAGGTTATACAGGAAGCAAGAAAGAAAAAATCAGTTCTGTCTCACTAAGTCAGCACGAGGTCGGTGCAGAAGAGTTCAACAGGCGCACAGTTCATCATTCAGCCTCGTCCGGTCCACCGGGCTCCTCATCTGAGAGTCAGTTTAATAAATCTTCGTCGGTGAGGACCGAGCGGAGTGGCAGTCCAGGTAGTTGGCTCAGTTCTTTGAAATTCTGTGACAGGATATTCCACACAGCCTCCGCTTCCTTTACCCTGTTTTTTTCATTAATATCATCTGGTTTCCTATCTAATATGGCTCCTGAGTACTTTTTGAAAAAAATATATAAAAACTAAAGTATGAACGGCATTTCTGTTGGTTTTATTTCACCCTCCCAGTCAGTCCTTCTACAAGTAATGGCACCTCTGTATATGGCAATGCGGCAAATTCAGATACAAAATATGGCTGATGTAGGCTATCACATAACTGGAACAGATGTCCCCTACCTAATTTTTAGTTTTTATAAGTAAGTCATATTTAAGCTATTTAATTACAAGATAACACTAATTTGAATAGCCTAAACACATTATACTGTTACAATACTTTATACTTCTAGTTGTATTTCTTGTAGCTGAATGTCTAATAGTTAAATGCAGAAGGGTGATATATTCCTGTCCCTTTAATCTAAACTCTACATTAGGCACTGACCTCACACCGTCACCTCATTTTTACTCCCTGTCCTGATCCCCTGACTGCCTCCTCCCCCACTCCCTGCTGACCCCCCACCGCCCCCTCCGGGAATGAAATGTAGCTGCTCAATTGTGTTCTGCCGTTTTGCTGCGAAAGCCATCCTCCGGGCGCTGTGGCCTCCTAGTGTTCCCGTTCCCATGACTACTCCGGTTCCGGGCCCCTCCCCAACCCAGCCCATGCCCCCGCTCATGTGCCCCGTCATAGGCGTGGTCCTCTCCTGCTCCCGTCCGGACGTGGGATGAGAGTTCATCTTGATCATGTGGTGCCGGTCGAGGGAAGGCGTTGCACAGACGTTCTGCTGGGACTGGGCCTTCTGCTGGCGAGGCAGGGTGGGGACGATCCCGCTTCCCGTGTGGGCGTACGGATCTACAACACCCATCCCACCAACGCCCATCCTCTCCTCCAAATGGTCTGGGGACATGAGCAGCCGTTCCTGTCTCTCCTGTCTCTCCTGCCTGTCCTGCCTGTCCTGCCTGTCCTGCCTGTCCTGGGTCTTCCTGGTGAGCGTCTGCGTGTTTGAGTTCTTATTGGAGGCAGCCATGGCTTTGTAGTACTGGTGTTGCTGGTTCTTGGAGAGCCGGGACAGAGTCCCGGTGTTTCCAGGGACATCACCCATGTTGAGCAGCTGGTCGGTGGACTTAACTTTTCTCGGAGGCTTGGAGAGAGTGTCGTAGTTGGGGTTGTGCTGGGGCTCCGGGGGATCCAAAGGGTAAGGATTGGGAGTGGGTGAAGCAGGCATGCCAGAAGGTGGCGGTGGGATCCAGGGCCGAGCCGCATGTCTGGGGAGGGTCCCTCGCCCGCTGAGGGTGTAGTCTCCACCCCAGTGGAGGTGGTGCTGAGACGACTGCAGGGCCGGCTGGGCTGTGTGAGGCCGGCGCTTGGTGGTGCAGTACCCAGATGAGTACTCGTCAAGACCTTTCTCTGCAAGCCAAACAAAAGTTCTCTGAATTGTTTATCACCACAGTAAATAGCATGAGCACATAATGATGCATCGTGCATTTCACAGCACCCGTGTCAAGAGTGTCGCTCTGCTTCAGCACTTACGAAACAGCTGCAGAAAAAGCAGCATAAGGGGAGCGCAGCTTAGACGGAACATGTCTCATTCCTGGAAAAGCGCAATACTCACCGAGCCGTTTGAGTGAGGAGTATCTGTTGAGCTCAGGCTTGGTGGCGCTCTCGTACGAGGGCGGCAGCTGGGCCAGGTTGTGCAGGGAGTGGTGGAAGGAAGGCTGCGATTTGGTGTTGTTGTGCTTACTGGAGAGCAGGGTGCCTCCAGCTGCCAGCTGAGCATTGTTCATCCGAGGTGTGCGTTCTGCAGAGACCAAAGGGAGAAGACGACGGTGTGTTAAATGAGATTTGCTCCTCTGGATATAGCACGATGCACATAGCAGAGTGTGAATCTTCTAACATTCACTGAAAGCGACAGATTTGAACTTGCTTTCAGCACTAACACAAGCAACCAAAAATATGATAATCATTATTATTGTTGAAATGAATGAGTCTACTTTTGAGCTCCAAACGAAGCTGAATGAAGTAAATGAAGCATCCAAGTGATTACATGCAATTTACATGGGAGCCCGGCTTTCATCAGCTGCCTTACCGATAGTTGCAGTGTGCTTGGGACTGGAGCCTGATGAGTGGATGAAATTGTGTTGCAAATTGCCCACTGTAAGTGAAAAGAACATGAAGTAATCAGCTCACAAAATGGATGTCAGGCAGTTGAGCGGTGTCTTCGACTAAAAGGAATAAGGAAACTTTACGTGCGTATCTACCTAAATCAATTCATTTTCACATGATCACATAAGCACCCATCTCCACATTCTTGTGCAATTAACTACTTTAATATTGAAGTGGAGAATTAGAGACACAGAGGACCCCAAAAGAATCATTTATAAATGACCATGGCCCTCGCAGAGAAATTACCGAGGTTAAAGATTCATTTTTTAGCACATCACTACTGAAAATTCTTAATTTATTCTCTCTCATAAAGACATCTTGATGGAGGAACACAGAAAAAAAAAGCTGCATCCATTTACAGACGTGACGAGCACAAAGTGCCTCTGCATAAAGAGAGGATGCTGTTACAAAAGTGCACCTCTGATCGTGCTATTCACTAACGCGCTACGAGCCCTAGACTCTCACATCTGTTGTCTTTGCTGGGCAGCCCGGGGGCGTAGAGATTTTTCGGCGGTCTCCCCAGTGTCCCCTGGCCATCTCCTACAGCCAGAGCCACGCTGTTGTTTCTCTCATCCTGCTGGACTGGGCTCGACTGGTGCCGCAACATGTCCACCAGAGCTCTAAAGATGCCATAAAAAAAGCAATAAAGGAAACATGAGATAAAAATGGCAACAGGGTATGGGCACTAAATTCTTCCTCCCATGAATGCTGTTTTTGGATTGCAAATAAGCAGCATATCAGCCATCTATGTGAGGATGAATGCTTAAATATAAATAAATGTGAATGTTAATCTTGTGGTCGGACATTAGGGTTTACACCGGTTATAATCATCAGTTAACTGTGCGGTTAATTTAAGTACAATGATGAATAAATATGGAAAATGTGAAACCAAAATAACATGCAGGGCTTCCCTGAGGGGATCAACCAACACTTCGTTTTGGTCTACAACTGTCATCTTCCATGACTGATGCAACTAGTAAAAACACCAAAAGACCCATCTTTATTGCCAAGACGACAGCCCATATATGAGATAAGAAAGCCAAGAGGAAATCAAAACAGCCACGATTTCCGCAGCAGTCACTCGATGAAGATCAAATATGTTTCAGCTGATGACTAATAACATTTTTCTGGGCCCAGAATGATGAATGTAGGCCATTTATGGAGTCCTGAAAACCTAATTTCATTACAATATTCATACATCAAAATGAAGTACTGAATTCAGCAATGAGGTGTGATGAAATTAAAAAAAAAACAAAAAAAAAAAAACGTGTAAGCCTCACCTGGGCATGTTCAGGTCCCTTTGGTTGGCTTCCTGTTGCACCTTGTTGAAGACCACCTTGATGCCTACTGCGACAGCCACCATAAACACAACCACGCCACCGATGACAAAGCCCGTGTTGTGGCTCTGCTGCTTCAGTGGATCAAAGTCTGGGTCACCTAAGTCATCTGGTGTAATCATGGGCTCCGTCTGTGGCTTGGCCCAGTCCGGAGAGTCGTAGTTGTTACAGTTGTCCTGGTCCAGTTGGCGACTTCGGTCTGGACAGCAGAAGCGGTAGTGGCAGGTTCCGCAGCAATAGATGAATGTGTCCTTGGAACAGTTGAAAGCGCTGTCAAAGTGTCCCATTACATCGTAATATCCTCTGCATCCATCCACCCATACATCCATTACAGGTGGCACCTGGGCTGCACCTAGAGGAGGTGCGAGGGCCTCTGCTGAAGTTACATTCTTGGGGAACATTACCTGGGGCAGGGGTCTCGGAGGAGTCTCTAGAACTTCCTCTGCGGTTTCTGGGAGCGTTTCTGGAGTTTTTGTCCTTCCTTGGAGAGCAGCTGGCCTGAGGTTGGCCTGGATGGCGAGGAGTATGAGCGAGGAGCTGGAACCAGTGTCGGGCTCCTCCGTGAACGGTCTCCCTGATCGGTCTAGGTGCTGAGGAGGTGGGGACGGAGAGGCCTCCACGACGGTAGCAAGAGGGGCAGTGAGGAGGGAGAGGAGGGAGACAGCGAGGACTCGGAGATTGGTGGTGGGCGGCATTTTTAGATGACTAAGACATCTATTTTTTTTTTATTGAGTCAATGCAGTTGCAACGGTGTATCCGCTTCTGCAGTTTAACCCACTAAAATGGCATGTGATGCATTCAGCATGTACTGGGTACTGGAGTTTCATTCACTAATGCTGGCTGATGAAATCTGAAATTTTTTGTGTTGTTCGTATTTATAAGGTGTTATAATAATAGAAAAGGTCGGGAACAATAAAAATAAAAAAAACTGTACAAACAGTATCAAAATGTTTTTGTAAGTTTCAATAATTGGTGATAATGGTATTAAAATGTTTTTAATTTCCTGTTAGAAGGGAGCTCTGAAAGTGTAATGACTTCATCTCTTGCCCTCTAAAAACCCCTCTCGATTCGAGAACACTCAAATGGATGCAGTTTTGTAAAAAGCACAGATTGAAAACAATCTTCATGCTTTTAGTCCTTAATGCCTCATCCTACATGCCCTACTGAACAAAAGAACAAACATCTCATTTACTACCAGGGGTGAAATTACGCTTTGCAACCACAAAGTTAGGAGCAAGTATTTTTAATAGAATATGGCATTCCTGTACATTCCTGCGCTGATGGCACTTAAAGAATAGACTATGGCCAGTTTTTTGTTACATGTAAACAAGTTTATCTGTTCTCTTCATTCCTTTTACAGCCTGGCACTACGTACATTCAGAAATGGCACTTGTTTAACCTGTAAGCAAATCCTTTCTGGGGGGGGGGGGGGAAAAGGAAAAAGATATTAAATCTATTTTGTTTTTATATATTCGGCACTTTTTGCCATAGTAAACAATTAAATGGAAATAAATGACTGCACCACTGATAAATACTGTCCATTAGTGTGGCCTAGTTTCTATAGAGTACCGCATTATCTCCACGTTAGCCTGTTCTCGGCACCCATCACATCTATAGATACACTGTGTACTTTATCTCAGTCTTTTCTATGGCTGGATTATTGTGCTCAGTACTCGCCTGGCACGGACCGTTACTGTGACTGGGCTGTGGGTGATAATGAGAATGGCTCTGGTTAAGTGCTAGAAGACCGCAAGCACTGAAAATTGGGAGTAATCATAAAGCAAAGAAACGACTCCCAGCCTGTAAAATACATTGCACAAATGAGGCAAATGTCATGATTTTAAGTGCTCTGCCTTCAGCTTGTAGGCACAAAATGTTGCCCGTGTCACTCAACTGTGTCGCTAATTAGATATGAAGTGAATGGCACATTGCTTCTCCGTGTGACATGTCTCTCTAAGTAAAATTATTCCTGATTTGTCTCCGATGTTGAAAGAATATCACTTTTGTGGAGAAATATGTAAATGTGTGAAGTTATTGTGTTGGAGGTGTTGGCAATAATAGACAGAGGCAGATCTGTCTCCCACAGAAATTATAATTATATGTAATTATCAAAATGTCCCTATCTGTAGCAGAGAATGTAGGCACAGATGGGGGAGACAGAATGCTGAAATCACCGAGGGCTCCACTTGTTTCAGTTACATGCTCCTCTAACCTTGTGAGGAGAGTTCAGTGGAGGAAAAATGAGAAACACGAAGCACAGCAGCTCTCCCACTGACTAATGTTCCAAAGGAGTTCTCCGGGTGATTTTTTTCCCCCCCTTCTTGTCGTTTCTAAGCTTTCTGCTTGATTTCCACAACTGTCTTCGGGTTTACGTACGGACAAATCTGGAAAATCGCTGGCCAAATGTCCACTGCAATACAAATGAGAGACATTAGATTAGAAAGCAGCTCTGCAACCTCTTCTCCACACTTACTGACCCTCTTTGTGAGTGTGTGTGATCATTTTGGGTACACACACGCACACCACAGTTATTTTTATTAAATGCGCTATGTGCATCGTGGAAAGCTGCAAGTGTGTGTGCGTGTGTTGTGCCTGTTTGGTTGCAGGAGGAACACTCTCCTGAAAAGCCAGTGATAGAGAACGGGAGCAGAGGGATAAATGCAGGGTAGGGATTTAAATGAGCAAAGAGATTGTGGCGAGCGGGAAGAGCCAGAGGTATAGATGCAGAGACGACCATGAGTGGGAGGGCGGTGTGTGGGTGGCACAGAATCAAGTACATTTCTCCCAGCACTTACCAATACAACACATCACACAAACAGCACCACCAAACAGATCTGCAAACACAGTCCATGCCACACGCAAGAGGAGAAGAGAAGTGCTAATCAGAACTGCAAATCAACCGCTGTTGGAAGAGTAAGAGGGAAAGAATGTGAAACAGTAAAGAAACCCTTTACTGTGCGAGTGTGTACATGCATGCATGTGAGAGAATAAAGCTGGCATTCTGTAAACCCCCTCGTAGTCGGTCTCTGCCTCTCTCCTTTATTCCTCTTGCTCCCCTCCTTTTCCTCTTTCTGCCTTTCTCTCTTTCTCAGATTCTGTGCGTGGGTTGAGGCAGCTAACTCTCTCAGAATAGCACTGCAGCTCTGTCTGTGTGTGAGTGAAAGAGGCAGTGAAAGAGAAGGGAGGTAGAATCCAATCTACACCCATTAGCCAAACCAGATTTCAAAGTCACATCTGCACGTCTCCTTCTCAACACGATGACACCTGATGCCTCGCACCGTCATCCGCCAACGCTGCCCAACTCTCCCGTCACCGTAATGTCTGTGCTCTGCTCTCAATCTTTCCACTTCATGAGGATTTTTTGACCAAATCCTTAAACCGCTCCCGCTAAACGTGCATATGCAGATGCCCAACATTGAAATTTTCACCCTGAATGTATTTAAACTACAGAAGACTGATCCATGGCAAAAAACAAAAACAATCCCCCCTGCTATTATTCATAAATCTGGTCCTCTAGATGTCTGTATAGTGTGGTGCTGAAGCAATGCAGCAGAGAGGGAGGGAGAGAGGAAGAACTGTACCAAAGGGGTGAAAGGCACACATTCACATGTGTGAGGAAGCAGCCCTGACTTGCATGGCCACAGGAGGGAGGACAACCCAATCACTTACAACTCCAAATTCCTAGATTTGTCAGTGTGTCAAAGCAAACGAACCTTGGGGCCTCTTTCACTGCAGGAGCTGTGCAAACGGCTGGGCATGCAATCATTTCAACAGGTGTTTGTTGAAAAAAATCAAACAAAATGGCCCCTTTTTTTCCTCTAGACGTGCTGTTGCAAAACGCACTGTGGTGTGAATTCTTTAGGGGGAGGGGGGAGAAATCGCGCAAACAAGTCGTGTGTTGCGTGTGCGCAAAAAGACGTCTAATTGCAGCGAAAGCCGCGCGGAGCAGCGGCTGCTTTTGGTCTCACCGGCGAATATATGCTGCGCATTTACTTTGCATCAGACGAACGGATGTGGACAGACTCCTCAGACTACACTCCATCCTTCATTGTGTTAATAAGTTGCAACTTGCAACAAACAAGCATGCGGGTTATGGACATGACTTGCATCTATCAGTAGGCTAAGAGTGCGTGGGTGTATCCGTGCCGGTGTGTGTGTAGTCCGGCTGGATGAGTCGGTGTGTGCGTGTGATATCAGTGTTCCTTAATACCAATATGGTTATAATGTCGCAGTTTGCTGCCACTTGTCGATTAAAGTGATTAAGAGGTGGGGGGAAAGAGGTGTTCGCGGAATAAAGCCCGCAGATGTTTTGTGTGGCGCAGATTTCATTCAAATGTTTTTGTTTGACAGCCTCCAGGTCAGCGGATGCGTCTAAACTGATGGCAAACTCAATTTTCATGCACGCACAAACACACAGAGCACTTATCAATCAGCTTTGATTGCAATTCCGTAATTGGCGTTGCATTAATAAAAGGTGCATAATGTCGTGCCTTACCTGTGCGCTGCTCTGGGGGGTTTGATGCTGAAGAGGAGCGCTGGAAGAGCCTGCGCACTGTATCTCAGCGGTTTCTCAGATGGCAGCCTGTTATTGTAGCAGAAGATGGTGAACTGTTGCTGGATGCGCCACTTATTTTAATTGCCCGTGTGTTTTAGAAGTGCAGCAAATCTCGATCGCGCTTGTTGTGTCTCCATCAGGCTATTGATAATCCATCATGACGGCGGAAAGACGAGGGGGGGGGGACGCGAGCGGGAGAGGAGGGGAGAGAGAGTCGGTGAACAACGAGATGTTCTGAGATTTTCTGATACATGTGACAAAGCACTTCATCTACACACTACGTCGGAAATTTCCGCCTGGTGTGCGGCACAAGTTAGCCTGCAGAGTAACTATCCCGGACAGGACGCAAAGTAGCCGGATTCGCATGTCAGGTGCGCAAAAATGTGAAGCTTTTCACCAACAAAATATCCGCCAGGCTCACTTTCTCCATCTAGAAACTGACTAAGACTGGTTCAGTTAATCGTCTCCACGCGATAGCCTATAGGTTACACCGCCTAAACTGCGACTGGCCTCACGGAGGTCCACCAGTGGGGGGGGACGCTGTGATTGGCCGGTCAGACAGGCGCTGATGAGACTCCGCGCTCCGCTCGGCGCTGATGGTCAATAGGCCCATTCAACTGGTGGCGTTCATCTTTACTCTCCTCCATTTAATTTCCATCTTTAGTTGCGCGCCCCTGAAGGCCTGCATACGTTTTACTGGCTCTGATAAAAAATAATAAATAAACATAAACGGAAAAAAAAATGTCGACCAGGGATTTGACTGATGTTCTTCCCGAAGAAGTAAAAAATATATAACGAATGAAAAAAAGAATGTATAAAAGCCTCTCCGAAAAAACGGAAGAAAACTTGCAAAATTTAAAGCAGCCGGTAAAGTGAGGGGAAGATCCAAAGTGTGTTTGTGTACGTGTGTGAGAGAGAAAGAGAGAGAGAGAAAAGAGAGACACAGACATGGTTGCCACAGCAACTGTGTCATTATGTTGGTGGCAATTATGAAAGCGATGAAAACGGGGAAGGGGAGAGGATTGGCGCAAAAGCCTTAACACTGAAGCGTGAACGAAACTGTCAATTAGACTCAAACCTACACTGACAACTCTTGATTTCTGTGAGTGTAGGACGAGCCGGGCAGGTGGAAATCCAGAGAAGAAAAAGAGGATAGTTGGATGAGAGGTAACGGTAGGTTTGTAAGTGTTTGCGCCGTCTTACAAACCTCGCGATCCTCTGAGATCACCACCACGCATGAATGAAACCGGGTTTAGGGTTGATCCCCCGACGATTGTCCTCCAAATAAATGAAATCACTGACTGCACATCAGGCCTACAGGATGAGTCACGCACTTATGTGACAGAAACACCAGCATGCATTCATATTACATCTGACCCAGACTACATATCTCACACACATCAAAATCTTCAGTGAAACTGTTTTTATGATTAATAGCACGGTGTGGGTTTTCACCGCATGGATGTTTATACCAGGTGTTGAAGGAGGTAAGCACTTCCAAAACGGGTCTTGAGGAAGGTGTAAAGGGTTACACGGAGCCCCAGGTGTCTAAGAAGGGTCTGATAATTACCTGCATGGCAGGCTGCTATTTCTACACAGGTGGGTGGGCTGCTGCATGTTGGCAGCAGAGGCCAGTGGAGCCCTTCATTAGATGGCCCAAAGACGCTCTATCGGGTGCACTTCAACTCACTGGTTTGCTGGGGTGGATGCAATTACTCGTTTTTCCTCATAATGGTTATTCCATCACTGCAGACCAGGAGACCAATAAACAAAATGTGCTAATACACGTCACTGGAAAAGCCTCATTTGCATTTGTTCTTAGCATTAATTTCAACATCGCTTGACAGAAGAGGACCAAAGAAAAAACACAAACAGGAGTTGATTTTCCATTTCACTTCTGGTATTTCAACATTTTATTAATTTAAATAATTTAAAATGGACACAAGATATCCAGCCAGACAGTGTGCACAGTAACAGGAGTTTCAGAGGCACCTTTTCCATCCAAATTAAAACAGCGCTTCACTGTGTTTCCTTGGGAAATGTAGGCCCCGCATGCATTTAAGAACGGAAAGAAAATTTGCCCGAGAAACCCTGCAGTTGCCACGGATGGAGGGGCAAGTTGGTTCAAACTAGGCACTTGTCATCTCTGGTACTCCACGCGGCTGGTCGGCGTGTGGTGCATCTGAGAGGACATGCTGCTTTTGTTAGGAGGCAGGGGTAGTTGAAGCGAGTCACACCACAGTATGCCTAAATACAGAGAACAGTTGAGGTGGCATGCGCATGCCATCTACCCTGTTCCCTTACAGCCACTGAGCTACATCTTCACACACAACCACAAGACAGCTGAATATGGACGTGTCGATTAAAAACAGCTTTTGAAAATACTGGTCAGTGAAACAGTTTTAAAAAGTCAGAAAAACAAAAAACAGCAGACTTCCTTTACTTGAAACAATCCATACCTTTACACCTTTACCTAAATTGGATCACAAAACGAAGAATACAATTTGGACGTTGCATAATTTTAGCGCCTTCTTCCATCATTTCCTTTGAGCTGAATTTAAAAACCTGACTTTAAGGTAGCATCGTGGTTCAGACTCGACAATGAGTCAGGCTGTGCAGTACACAGTACCATCACAGTTGCTTTTACCAAGAAACGCTTTAAAAAAAAAAGGCTGCTATTAAGTCTGAGACGACAGGAGCTATATCTCATTAACGGACAGACATCAGAGGCCGTGGTTTGCACAGTGAATCGCATTAAGTATCATTCATTCACAGTAGGCCAAAGGAAAATCACAACTGATGGCATGATGTTTTGTTTTTTGTTTTTTTTTTTTAGACTGAAAGTGTATTCTTTCATTTCAGAAAAGCAACAATTTGTCACCGTCTTCAGGTATGGGAAGAATTAAACCCGTGACACCAACTGGACAAGACAGAGTGATGGAAAGACAAAGAATAAGGTTTAAGTACAAAGTGGGAAGTCTGGATTTTCAGGGTATAAAGAGTCAAAGGGAACAAAAACATCAGTATACTTCAATATTTAAATTTACTCTCCCACATTCACACAAACACACGCACACACACCCACTGAGAATTTCTATGGAGGTATTAAAGTCGCCTCAACGCACGCTTTTTATCTGCTTTCTTCTTCCCTGCTACATTATTAGTGCTACTACTACTGTTGCTATTGCTGGTGGTGGTGCTGGCTCCATTGGCTCCATTACCCAAAGCTGCTGGCACAGACGCCGCACTGGGTCCCGCTCTCTTCATCGGGTCACCTGCATGCTTCTTTGGCTGGGGGCCGTCATTAGGATCCTGAGGTGCCCCAGAAGTGCCGCCCATGGCGTGGATCTCTGTGAGCAGGCGGGCCCGGGACTCGTACTCAGCATAGTCCTCTAACAGCAAGCGGCCGGCTTCTTCGTTCAGAGCCGATTCTGGGTTCGGATGGATTAGAAGACACTTGATTGTCTGTAGGAAAGTGAAGGAAAGAGATGTGAAATTAGTGGCCTCAACACAAGCGATACTGAAACAAACACACAGATCATCCTTCTTACCAGTAAGACATGTTTGAGGCCAAGTTCTGCCTTCCAGTCCCTCTTCAGCACGTTGACACAGATCTCTCCCTTATGACCCACGTTGGGGTGAAAAATCTTGGTCAGGAAATACCCTTTGGGTGGAACCGCAGGGAAGTCCTTCCCGAGGACCAGACGCATTCGGAAAATGCCACCAGCAAATGGAGTTCCCTCTGTTGAAGTATAAAGAATTCATCACATGAACATTATGTCCTGACTCTGCCAAACTTCATCCAGAAAAAGAGGGTCACAGAGCTGCAACCGAGTCCTCTGACAACACATTCAGCGCATACAAGTCAGTCAGTCACAGAGCACATTAACTATCATTTCAAATCTGTCACATAACAGCAAATATTTCAAAGCCGAAGAAATACCACCTGACACTTTTCCTTGACACCTAGTCTTGGTTTTAAAAAAAAAATAAAATAAAAGGTTCCAGAATGAAAACTGTGCCAGCATCGAAGATTTAATCTTACCATCTGTTAGACAGGTTTCTTAAAGCGAGGAGACTTTTTAGGGAACAGGAGATTTGTGTACAAAAATCATCTAATATTATCCTGTCATCAGTGGTAACAAAGTGAAATAAACACAATATTCTTTCGCGAGAGAAGAGTAAGGAAGTTTACGAGGCCATTTCAAATCCTTGTCACTTGCTCTTAAGTCAATTTCCTGCATTTAACTTCTATCAGTTTCCAATGAAATAATCTGATATTTGATCTGATATTTCTTGTTTGACCATCATCACCATCTGTCTGTGTACGCTTCAGCTTTTAACCAGGTATGCCTAGGTAGCAACAACAAAAATTTGACATTATGAAACACACTGTACTGCCGCTTTAACATAATGAATTACCTGATCTGAAATCAGATATAAATGTCAGTGCCCAATAAATGAAACTGATGCCGCGACGGAGCTCTGTGGAGGAGTAGAAAATGTGGACAAGTGTCTGGCTCTTCAAGACCTACTTAAAAATAACGTCTGAAGCAATGAGTGCATAGTGGCAAGATATCATGATAGTTTAAAGTGACTTATGTGTCTCACATGATATTAACAACACCCACAAAACCCATAATTTAAGTGATTACACAACAGCATAAATTTTGAAAGCTCCACGAAGGGGGGAATAGAAATGTAAAACAGGCCTTGAGGATTTATTATTCTACAAATTAACAGCACAAAAACTAAATTATGTACAGATAGTAAAAGATTCCATCAAAGCTGATGGCTTCCATTTAAGCTTCAATAATACCTAAAAATCATGGAGCAGACGGCTGACTCAGCTCAGCCATCACCAGTCATGTTATTACCTTGAGCTGATAATACAAAGTTGGCTATCAATAAGAAACTCTCAGCCTTTAAATATTATTGTTTGAAGCCGTTTTTCTGGATGTGAAGTGGTGAAGTAACTAACACACTAAATGCACAGTTTGCTGCGAACATGACGCAGAACTCGGGGTTTTTCCTGGACACTGGTGACCCTTTGATTAATGACTATAACACACTAGCACAACTGACTGGCACACAGTGAAGGCGGCGAGTGTCTGTCACCTTACTTAACAGAAATCTGAATTTATTTCTGGACATTTTCAAAAACAAGAATGCATGTAATGTTGAAGGAAATAAAATACAGCCTAAAAAGAAAATGGACTAAAATATTTTTGTTAGAAACCTAGAAATGTTTGCATGCAGGAAAAACCCTGAGAGATAATATATTTAAGAATACACAAAAAAACCCTTGAAAATACAAGCTGCAAGGTGACTAAACTAGGTAATTTTATCGCTGGTTTTGAAAATAAATTTCCACATTAGTTATTCAAGGACAGAAGTAATACAATTAGTATGGATTTCATTAAGTTTATTTTACTCATCAGTCTCTGACAATTTGTCTATTTAATGAAATACGAAATGCTCTGTACTGATCTTTTATGATAAAATATTTTGAGTCAGGACAAACTCAACAAATCTGGTTCAAACTAGAGATCTTAAAGAAAATAAAATTTTGCAAATCTAAAGCCCTAAATTATGAAAAGACCATACTGCAAATACTCACTTGGTGAGTTTACTCCCAAGAGTTGTGTCGGTCCTGCTCTAAGTGTGAAGTGATGACACTATATCATAATCCTTACCTGGTCCCTCTATTGCTGTGTGAAGCTCTGTTATGTCTTCTTCGCTGGGATAAATCTTAATGCCCTCGGGTGGATCTGCTGCTAAAGCTGAAACTTCTTTGTAGACCAAGCGAAGAACATGAGGGGGCAAATTCTCCACATTGGAGTTCTGGAGAGACATAACAATAGTTTAGCCACAGCGCTAACAGCAATGACCAAGCTGTACTCTTACTAAGAATGAGGAAAAATGAAGGCTGTAACTTCACCTCAGGTACTGTTAAGATAAAGTTTTACATTTAAAGCATGTAAGCCAAAGCAGCTGAAAAAGGAGAAAATAAATAAATAAATAAATAAATAAATAAACATGGGATCACCAGATTCAGAAAAAAAGAAAAGAATATCTTCGTGTAGGACACTGGGACGTGTTACTAATGCTGAGAACTAGACTTAAACAAATTATGCAGTTTTGACATCAAGAAGTCCAGAAAAAAATGAAGCACATTTCATTACACACACCCCCCCCCCCCCCATTTGTTATGTGATAGTTTGTACAATGTAAATTTATTTTCCTTTTCTATAGCAACAACTGTCCCATATTATTCAGTGTTATTTCAGCTGACTTTGGGACTTTAAAAAAGAAGCCCACTAGTTTATATTTTTCACATGTTTTGACTTTTTATTTCTAAGCATTCATTTAATTTCCAGAATGGGTTCGCTCATTTTAGTTCATTTTTAATCTTTGAAAATATTTAGTTTCAGCATTAGGCAGTTTATGTTGACAACCAAAGTGGCTAAAGCTAAGGCTATTTCCTCTACATTCTGATTTTCACTTTTTTTTGTATTTCAGTCTACTCAAATATTTATTTCACACTTCGTTTTTGGCTTACTGCAAAAACCTTTGTCTCTGTAGATGTACACATTTTACAACCACGTGTTTACTTTCCTAAACTTGGACTAACAAATAAATATGACACTGCCTCAACATGTTGGTCTGTTAGCACACTGGACACCTTTTCTTTAATATACAGCGAGTGTGAGTGAAGTAAATTTAACATATTATCAAAATGTTTATTATGTAGGTAGGTATCGACTCATTACACACTAAAACATAATTTTTTGTATGGCTTTGATGATTTCGTTCCACACATTTTAATAATGTGTCGATCGGCCATATGGCAGAAGAAAAAAAAAAATCTATCATCGGCACCACCTGAGACCATCTACATTTTCCGCTGCGGATCTGCTGTCATTTTACACAAGCTTTTCTCTGTAATCTGCGCTTTCCAGTCATTATCTTCCTAATTTTAACACGTATTTACGTAATGAACATGAGCTGGAGCTCCTCTGGGGGAGCTACGGTTTCATCATCGAGCCAGCGGTCCCCGCACCACGTTAAGCATCCTCAGAGAAGTCAGATGAGTTATAACTTGATCAACTTGAAGTATGTTTTAAAGGCACAGCAGTAGATAATTAATACCAGTTAAACAGTCGACGGGCAATGTTAACTTTATGTTACCGTTAGCATACCTAGCCTAGCAAATGCCTCGATTAGATTTCGTGTTAAAGAAGCTTTTGGTTTAGTGGCAATAGTTTCTATTGTGTATAAAGGTACTTATTAATTACACCAATATACATCTGAAGACTTTAATAAACGCATTAACTTTCAACAAATAGACACAACCGCCCATAAAAATCGAAAAATTAAAAAAAAATCGACAGCTAAAATCGGTTAGAGCTAGCAGTGTCTCCCATTAGCTGTTAGCTAAGAGGTTGATCTTACCATCTTCAAAAAGGAGCTCTGCTTGGGTGGTGGGTGTCTGGCTGGTGTCAGATATAAAGAACCGTTTCTAATAGAGCCTAGAGGAGTGAAAAACTATATTCGATGAAAACTTAGCCGACTGGCTGATGATCGCCGTTCTTCTTTTCTTCTCTACGTTGACACAGGAACAAAAATACGATCCTCAATTGAACCTTAAAGCACAGACCAATGACCGGCACAGTGGTGTGAAACGTCAGAAGAGACAGACCAATCGAAATGCATCGATAGAGCTGCGTCACATCAAAAAGCCCTATCAGCCACATAGAGTGAAAAGTACATCTGATACACGCCAGCGATAGGTCCATTTGAAAAACTCACAAATCTAATCGATACTGAAAGATCAGCGCCAGCTACATTGAACACCAAAATTAAGAAACGCCCACTGTTTAAACCAGCCAGCCTAATTTATTAAATAGATAAATACTTAACTTGATAAGCGGGGTCACTTTTGTTACGTTGTATGATAGATTTCTTTTAATGTTGGTTAATTAAATTCACTCTAATTGGCAATAACAATAACTGGATTAAATTACACTCACAGTTTTTTTCGTATTCGTGTAGTACAGAAACGTGCCTGAGCAACACACCACCAAAAATAACAACACAATTAACATTTATTCATCAGACCCTCTTTTAGGTGACCTACGCCTTGTTAGTACTGCTCTGGAGCCGTTTTTGGTTTCAGAACTATTTTAATTCTTTATGACATTCAACAAGGTGCTGGAAACATTCCTCAGAAATTTTGGTTCAGATTGACACGATAGCATCACACAGTAGAAGCAGATTTGTTGGCTGCACATCCATGATGTGAATATGGCTTTCCACCACAGCCCAAATGGTGCTCTATTAGACTGAGGTAAACTGGCTGTGGGGGCCATTTGAGGACAGTGAACTAATTTTCTTGTTCAAGACACCAGTTTGAGATGATTTGAGGTTTGTGACATGGTGTATTATCCTGTTGGAAGCAGCCATCAAAAAATATGCACACCGTGGTCATGAGGGGATGTGACTCCAGGTATTTAAACTCATCCAACGTTGCAACCTCTGCTCCTTGAAACTTTACCTTTTCACCTGTCTAGTCTAGTCTAGTTTAGTCATGCTTCTACTGACTTTCTTCAGCTCTTCGCCCTACTCCTGGTTTTTAATACAAATCACAATGTCGTCTGCAAACATCATTGTCCACTATTTCAGAATAGAATAAGGCAGTCATGTAGAAATCTCAAGTCTCACCAAACAATGCATCAAAGTCTTAGTCGGGCAGGCTTTGAAAATGTTTAACTCCTCTCTGGAGGGGAGAGGGAGGGGAAACAGGAGGACAAAGGAGGGGGGAACAACTAAGCTGTAGTGCCTCTTCACCTCACTGTACAATACCTTTTGTGCAATACTTTTGTTAATAGTCAATGGTGCAATAGACCTCAATACTTGAAATGTGCAATTCACTTGTATTTTTATTTTTATTCCTATTTATTCTATTTATCCCCTTCGTATATTTTATTTATATATGTCTCTGTATTTATATGTGTGTGTGTGTGTGTGTGTGTGTGTGTGTGTGTGTGTGTGTGTGTGTGTGTGTGTGTGTGTGTGTGTGTGTGTGTGTGTATATAATATTCTGTAACTGTAACTTCTGTCAGTGCTGTGCTTTTGGAAACCGAATTTCCCAGAGGAACCCACCCGAGGGATTAATAAAGTTTTATCTTATCTTATCTTATCTTATCTTATCTTATCTTATCTTATCTTATCTTATCTTATCTTATCTTATCTTATTTCCTACATATTTTTATTTATTTATTTATTTCGTTTATTTCAGTTTGGTGGTTGTACAACTTAATTTCATTTAGTTTAGTTATATTTTTCCTAGAATATCGTTTTTTATTTTTATTCGAGGCTTAGCTCACTTCATCAACTTCGGTCTGTATCACCGCAGTCAGCAGTAATAAGGCTCGTCACTGGGGGGCGCTGCAGCATCAGCTCAGTGATTAGACGCGGGGAAGAAGCGTGTGTGTGTGTGACACCGTTGAAGATGAGTTAATCCTGACATTATTATTACTTTCCTCTATTCAGCATAATTAAACTGTTAAACTGGCGGGGTTTCCAGCCCTGCTGTTAGGGACGCATACGGACGACAAAAAAAAACCCAACATCACCTTAACAACAAAGGCTCAGCTTCCGGTTTCTGGATGTAGCTGTCAGGCGCCACCATCATTTAAACGGGGCATCGCTTTATCAGCAGGTTTGTAGCTTCGTTTAGCTATTGTTGATTAATAATAGTTTATCGGGGCGATGTTTTTCCAAACTGCCAGCGGTCATAAACACAGTGTATACTCAGATTTTTCAGCTTCTTTTACAGCGAGCAGCCGCTAGCCTGAATGGGCTACAAACTGCTAGCTAGCAGATGTAACATGACAGTTAATTAACGAGACTTCTCGTTTGTCTGTGAAGCTTTAGTATGAGCGAAGGAGAGGTGTTTCATGAGAAGCAACGATTGGAGCTGTGCGCAATTCACGCACTCAACAACGTGCTCCAGGAGCGGGTGTTTACCAAAGAGACAGCCGACGATATATGCAAAAGGTAGGGTAGCCTCTGGGTGACGTGACGGTGTACGGAAATCTGTACACAAACCAGCGACAGCATTCAAACGATCCATCTGCTAAACTCACCAATGATCTGACCAGTTTATAACCTCAACATTCCAGACAATACTCCATCATTTGTTTACCCTGTGAACAGACTACCATTTTTCTGCAATGCAGCAGCTGCTTTTATCTTCTAAGGCGTGTGTGAGATGCTGAACATGACAGGTTTTCATGTTTAGCTTAAGTTTTGGCAGTGCCGAGCAAGGCTTTTACTGAGAACTCCAAGACTCAAGCAGAAATTACTGAATTCCCTCATTCAGCCATCATGTCTTCCACCTAAAAGTGAAAAATGCCAAACATTTATTCTTAACAAAAGCTTTAATTTGATCAGAAGTGTGTGGGTGTTTGTTGTTGTTTTTACATAAACTGTTAGGAAAATTTAACATTAAGTTTTTGTGGGGAAAGAGCAGTGGGTGCTGTCCGTGTAGCAGAAACCATTGTTTTTCAGTGAGGCTGGCATGTATGTCAGCAGCCATTAGCTTAATTGAACATGAGGCCAGATGAGTCATGATCTCTGTGGCTTTTGACAAACAACATTTATTTGAATGCAGAGCAGCTCAACCCCAACCCCACAAAAACACAGCTTTTTCATATCGGTGTGGTTGTTTTGGGACAACAGTTATGCATTGTGATGATATTTATATGCAAGAAAGTAAAACAAATCTAAACAGTTTTGTAAAGAAGATGCAGTATAACATTTGGTTTTTTAAAACTGGATTTCTCTGCCTTTTTTCTCTCGTGGCAGGCTGGCTCCACAGTGTGTTGTGAACCCACATCGGTCGGTGTTAGGGACGGGAAACTATGATGTCAACGTCATCATGGCGGCACTACAGAGCCGGGAGTTGGCTGCGGTGTGGTGGGACAAACGCAGGTAAGTGAGTCACACTGAAGTCTGTGAAATGAGAAAGTCATTTTGTGTAGAGGTCCCGCCTCTGTGCTCATAATGTTGGTGTTAAATTTGAAATTTACTTTTTCATTTACACTATGTCTCCGGGCTGTTTGTTCTACCTTTCTCCTTCACTTAATCTCACAGTCGCTTTTTTTTAAGCCATACCTATACAGCTGGTTGTTAATAAAAATATCCAATTAGACAATTACATGGAAGCAACTCAGTTCGTTTAGGAATTTAGGCATCAAAACACAGTCAGGATGACCTGCTAAAGTTTAAACTGGGCATCAGAATGGGGAAGAAAGATGATTTAAAGTGATTTTGAACGTAGCACGGTTGTTGGTGCCAGATGGACGGGTCTGTTTATTTCCGAAACTGCTGATCTTCTGGGATTTTCCCAAGAAACCATCTCCAGGGCAGAACACCATTTCTGAATGTGCAACATGTCAAACCTTGAAGCAGATGGGATACAGTATCAGAAGACTAGACCGGGGGCCACACAGGGAACTGAGATTACAACCAACCAACCCAGTTTTAGCAAGGTGTACCTAATAAAGTGGCTGGGACTGTATACTGCAAGGGGATCCAGAATATTGAGATCAGCTCTTAGTGCCAGGCTGTTGTAATAAAAGGGAATTCTTGAGACTATTTTCAGACACAGATGGTGTTTGTTTTTTTTTTCCCCCTTAAAACAACATCTTAATTTTAAACCACTTATGATGTAACCCTGAGGCGTTGTTGGATTACACATAAAAAGCATATTGGCAGTCTTACCAAACCGCAGCTACATGTGAAAATGAATTTTGTGCTTTGATAGATTTACAGACTCAGTAAGTGCTTCAGAAGTAGGCTATCCGGGTCGAGGTCATTCATAATGAAAAATGCCCTGAGATGCACTGCGCGTAATAACTGGTTAAGTAAGACTATCTCAAAGTGGCTGATTTAGTGATTTCTTTCTCCCCTCTTTCAAACTGCAGGGAAGTTGAGAACCTCTGTATGTCAAAGGTCCAAGGCTTTATTCTGAATGTCCCATCACGAGTATCTTTGGGGATTGTGTCCCTCCCGCTCCGGCGGCGGCATTGGCTCGCAGTTCGGCAAGTTAGCGGACAGTACTACAACCTGGACTCTAAGCTGAAGAGTCCGGTCTGCATCGGCGGAGAAGCAGAGCTGTGGTAAGAATTGCGCACGTATACGTCCAATGTTTCCCGGACTCTCAGGAGCAGAGATGTAATCTCTGTGTGAGTGATTCTGCTTTGACTTCGATCTAAACTTGGCTTTTGTGTGCTGTTTGAACTCATTGAGTGAGTCATACCATGTGACTGGTCACATGGGAGTGGGGGTTAGCTCATTGTTTGTTTTGTGTTAGGACACTGTGCTCTATTAAAATCCCCACTGTCTGTTCTTCTAACCTTCTCTCTCTTCGCTTCTGTTTCAGCACATTTCTCACTGAACAGCTTTCTCAGGACGTGGCAGAGATGCTGCTCGTTGTCCGACGGGAGGTGGAGGAGGACGGCTCGTGGCTGAACGCTGACAGCAAGAAGTGATGCCTTGGGACAGAATATAACTTTGCAAAGCGTGGGGGGGGGAAAAAACCCTCCTCTGGGAAAATGACAGACATTTTGAAAGAGAGAAGCAAACACCTCGTTAAAAAAATATCTTCAGGGAATGCACTAAAATACATTTAATATCTACACAAACACACAAATTCCAAAGAGAAGTATAGGTGGGCATTTAATCCTGAAATGAAGAACTGCTTGATTGTAACGGCTTAAAAAAGAAAACCATTGCTCTGGTATGACCCATCTACAGTGGGGCAAAAAAGTATTTAGTCAGCCACCGATTGTGCAAGTTCCCCCACTTAAAATGATGACAGAGGTCAGTAATTTGCACCAGAGGTACACTTCAACTGTGAGAGACAGAATGTGAAAAAAAAATCCATGAATCCACATGGTAGGATTTGTAAAGAATTTATTCGTAAATCAGGGTGGAAAATAAGTATTTGGTCACCTCAAACAAGGAAAATCTCTGGCTCTCACAGACCTGTAACGTCTTCTGTAAGAAGCTTTTCTGTCCCCCACTCGTTACCTGTATGAATGGCACCTGTTTGAACTCATCATCTGTATAAAAGACACCTGTCCACAGCCTCAAACAGTCAGACTCCAAACTCCGCCATGGCCAAGACCAAAGAGCTTTCGAAGGACACCAGGAAAAGTATTGTAGACCTGCACCAGACTGGGAAGAGTGAATCTACAATAGGCAAGCAGCTTGGTGTGAAAAAATCAACTGTGGGAGCAATCATCAGAAAATGGAAGACATACAAGACCACTGATAATCTCCCTCGATCTGGGGCTCCACGCAAGATCTCATCCGTGGGGTCAAAATGATCATGAGAACGGTGAGCAAAGATCCCAGAACCACACGGGGGGACCTGGTGAATGACCTGCAGAGAGCTGGGACCAAAGTAACAAAGGTCACCATCAGTAACACACTACAACGGCAGGGAATCAAATCCCGCAGTGCCAGACGTGTTCCGCTGCTGAAGCCAGTGCATGTCCAGGCCCGTCTGAAGTTTGCCAGAGAGCACATGGATGATACAGCAGAGGATTGGGAGAATGTCATGTGGTCAGATGAAACCAAAGTAGAACTTTTTGGTATAAACTCAACTCGTCGTGTTTGGAGGAAGAAGAATACTGAGTTGCATCCCAAGAACACCATACCTACTGTGAAGCATGGGGGTGGAAACATCATGCTATGGGGCTGTTTTTCTGCCAAGGGGACAGGACGACTGATCCGTGTTAAGGACAGAATGAATGGGGCCATGTATCGTGAGATTTTGAGCCAAAACCTCCTTCCATCAGTGAGAACTTTGAAGATGAAACGAGGCTGGGTCTTCCAACATGACAATGATCCAAAACACACCGCCCGGGCAACAAAGGAGTGGCTCCGTAAGAAGCATTTGAAAGTCCTGGAGTGGCCTCTGTCATCATTTTAGGTGGGGGAACTTGCACAATCGGTGGCTGACTAAATACTTTTTTGCCCCACTGTATCTGCAACGTCAACTATACTCTTGTACTTTTTGTTTTAACTCTTTGAGTTGACAGAGTTGCAGGTTAGAGGCAAACGTGTGCTAGTTTATGACACTTTTGTTGTGACCTGATTGTGAAATGTTAGTGTTTTTGGTAACTGGAAAAATTTGATTACTTGAAATGCTATCAGGATGAATTCGCCACTTAGGATACTGTTGTCTTAGATCCAGTTTGTTATGTCCTTCGTGCGTTATGGTTATGCCAGAATGCGTTGATTGTGAAGGAGCACCATCTCTTCCTTCACCCTTGTTATTAACCTTCTATGCACTGCAGCATTTGAGTTATTTGCACTGTTTGTCTTTGTTAGCACTCATGCAGGCACAGGAGCCTTGAATGCATCACCTTAAAGAGGCACCAGAAGACTGCGCCAGTGTCTTTGCATGTGTTCATCCATTTACTTGACTTCTTGCGTTCTTTTTAGTCTAGTTACACAGTTGTGATCAGAAGTTTACACACACTCTTCGTGGGCACGAATGTTATGATAATTTGGGGCTTTTAATGCTTTCTTTGAACATTTTTTTTCCAGGGTGGAATGATTGTACAGCATACGTCTTTAATGACTTTTTATAAAAACAAGAATTGGCTGTGCAGGTTTGAAACTGGATTTTCTCTAAACCACACAGGGTTAAATATCTGCATACACCCACACTAATATTTGGTTAAATTTCTCCTGGCATTTTGCACCTCAGCCAGACTCTTTTGGAAGCTTCTGGCTGAATAGTTGACTACTCATCCTGGCAGATATGGAGTTAATTTAAATCAGGCACAGAGACGGTGTTTAAGCATAGTCCATAAATTTTCAGTAGGTTTTGGGAAGGCCTTTCCATTAGTTGATGTAAACCTCTGACCACAGCTGTGTTATAGTTGTGTGGTAAAGTTGTACAAGCCACACGCTGAAGAAGCTCCATCAGTCCATTTTTCTTCTGTTTATCCAGTTCAAGGTTGGGGTAGTTGGGGTGGTCGGGGGGGGCGGGGGCTGGAGCCAATCCCAACTGTCACAGGGTGAGAGGCAGGGTACACCTTGGCCATGTTGCCAGTATGTCGCATGGCCAAGACAGAGAAACACGACCATTTACACTGACAGTAAATTTAGAGTCAAATAACTTAACCCTATGCATGTTTTTGGACTTTGTGAGGAAGCCACAGGACCCAGGGAGATGATGCGAAGAGTAAAGTAGCTGATATCACGAAGAGTTAGCGAGTGAATCCAGGTTTGGGGTACAGAGCAGTGTTAAGTTCACTAATCTTGAAAACATGCAAAAACACTGGACACATGACTGTATGTAGGCGCTACACTTGTGTGTTGTCTCCCCTAGTGATCTATGCATATCTGAAAGAATAGGAGCGCTGTCTCTGATACACACTAGTGAATAACTTACACATAAACCTAAGCTCAGAGGTGAATAATATTTAAATTTATATTAAACATTGACCTTTTGTTTTAAGTACAAGTCTGTGTGTGTGTGTTTTCTTGGCATTGTGTTGACATGAAGATGAGGACCAGTGTCGGGTTATTGAAGTTATTTTTATTTATATTAGACTCTCGAGTGTAAAAGGATGCCATTCAAAAGGAGCATTGATAACCATACAAACTCAATTCAAGGGTTAACGGGGTCAGAGAGGGAGGGATTCGATGAAATCTCACACCGGTACCATATATACACAAAAACTTCTTGGAGAGATCTCAGAAATCCAACGCTATACATAGTTATTATTGCTAGTTATGGTAGGGCTACTGCAGCACCAGTAGCAAGAATCATATTGCTATGTACCTGCTGTCATGGCATGGGATTTCTAGTTCTCCACCCTCAGCGATTGAGTGGCGGTTCTCCGTTCCGTCATTAAAACAGAGTCACGGCAGCCCTCAAGTTTTTTTTGTTTGTTTGTTTTTTGTTTTTTTAAAGAGCAAAGATTCATGATTATTCAGATATTACAGACAGTGAGAGATATACAGAGTACCATAAGGTAATACGAGGAAAATACAGAATCGCCACCTATAAAAAGTAATTTAAAAAAAAAAATCATACCAAGTGAAGGAACTGCATAACCATTCACAGAAAAAAATGTGTCTTGTTGCTACGTGCCAGTGCTTTTCTACAACAATATTTATATAAAAACTCGAAAATAAAGTGGTGGTACAGATACATTTAAGAATATAAAACTACAACGTAGTAACGTCAATACCATTCTGACTTGGCTCACCACAGTTTACACAGTTTGGACAAAAGGGAGGGAGGAATTTAGGCCAAGCACACTTGGTTTAAAGCATAACCAAGCAGCAGAATCACTGTCGGTTGTATCTTTTGCTTTTAATAATAATAATACTAGTAATAATGATAATACTCAGTGGTACTGACGTTACGCACTTTGACACCTAGCATTCATTTTATTTAGATTAGTTTCTTTTTCATTTCATTAAAGTGTCCATTCATAAGAAAACTAAACATTTTTTTTCTATACATTTCCTAACAAAAAATAATAATAATCAACGTGAATACAGGTTCCTCGAATGGGCGGGGTTGGGGTGTGATTGACTTCCCCCGTAACCAGTCAGCATGCTGGGAGAGTACTGCGCTTCCAGAGAACAGGACGGGGTTCAACAGACGAGAGGTCAAGATGGTCCGAAGTTTCAGGGAGAGAAAGTAAAAGAGAAAAAAAAAAAGACGTTTGTTATTCATTCATGTGAACATTGGCTCATCCAAAGCAGAACATGGCACCTATTACGCTCATTTAAAGCATCACCGTTTTATTTTCAGCTCTTTTAGCCTTTAGGCAGCTGATTTTGTCCTTTCTCTGGTATATATATATATATATGTGTGGCAGATTGGCTGGCCCTCAAACTGATGGTCTAAAGTAAATGTTGCTGTTTTACTTCATTCTTTCCTCAGAAGCAAACTAGACTATAAATCCAAATATGTTCTTTTTTATTTAGCAAAATCTTGACTGGCATTGTTCCCGGTGCATTTTACAGCATTTCTCAGAAGCTAAAGTCTGCCGAAACATCAAAGAATTGCTCAAGCTGTCATTATGAAAGTGAAAGCTTGCTCACTTGTTGAAATAGAGTCATACAGTCATGTACAAAGGAAAAGCGTTCAAGTACCTCCCATGATAAAGCAGCTTGTAGAAGCACTTTTAACAGCTCTTTCTGCATGACTTTATTGTTCCCTCACATCATTATGGAGCCATTTTGCCCCACTCTTCTTCACAGCGTTGTTTCAGTTCATTGAGGTTTGCAGGTATTCGTTTATCCAAAGCTCTCTTAAGGTCCCACCACATAATTTCAGTCAGGCCTAGGTCTGGATTTTGACCATGCACCACCCAGATTCTTTCGTTTTTTTCTGTTCATTCAGATGTGCTGCTGTGCTTGGGATCATTGTCCTGTTGCATGACAGAATTTGGGCCAAGCTTTAGCTGCCTGACAGATGGCCTCACATTTGACTCTGGAGTACATTGTTACACAGAGTTCAATGGTTGACTCTGTGCTTGGAAGGTGTCCAGGTCCTGTAGCTGCAAAATAAGCCCGTATCATGCCACCTGGACTTTCAACCCTATCTTACAGCTTTTGCCAGGAAGATGGAGTCTGATTTGAATTTTCAAAGAATTACTTTTGCTGTCATAAAATTGAAAGTCTGTTCACCTGTTAGAGCAAGGTTATATGATGGTAGAGATTGCAAGTCTGTACTCTGTGCGCTCTATAACTTAAGCTGAAACCTTGTTAAAACATTGTAAAACTGCTGAGCATGACTAACTTGTCGTGATCAAGGTCACTTAGTAGATTTTTGTGGCACCTTGATCTGCATCTCCTGGTCTTCCTTGACAGATAAAGGTGTTCAGGAGGTCACATATGAGGGGGAGACGCTATTAAAGTCATGCAGTGTCTCTGACAGTATCATAACCTGAAACCTTCCTATGTGCTTTAAAATAACCAGAAAAAACTTGTAAATTGGTTTTAGTTCATTTCCTTTCCCAGCGTTGATAGTTTTTGTTGTCAAAATGGACAAATGTTCTTCCTGATATGCTTTGCACTTTTTAAAGGTTTTAAACTGTTGAAGTAAAAGTGAACCACATTAGTCCGTTTGCTACTCGTTATCAAAGCGAGCGTGAGCACTAACAGCAATGAAAAAAATGGCACAGAGTGCGATGGTGTCACAGGTACAGAGGAACTCACAGAGGGGGGTGGGGACTGCCTGTCAGTCAAGGGTAGGCTCTCATAGCCAGGGTTGCCATTGGAGGAAACGTTTGGAGTCCTGTATAGAGATAGAAAGAGACAAGGACAGAAGAGAGCGGGAGAAGACGAATAGAGGATAAAGAAGAGAGGGAAAGAAGGGGTGAGACACATTGAGAAAGACAGAAGGGGGTGGGGAGAGGACCGCAGGATGACGAGACCCACGGACAGGTAAAAGGAAAAAAGGAGAAAGAACGATTAGAGAAATAGTGCAGACAACACAGCACTCAGCAGAGCTATTAGTACTACTGGCACTCAGGCAGGACACTGTGAGCACCAGCAGCAGCTGTACAGTCCACTCCTGATGACTGATGCACAACAGGATTTGCACAATAATCTGCAATTACAGGCATTTAGGACTGGGTATGAATCGCCAGCTGCATTTCAGCCGTTATGTTGCTTTGCTAATGAATTTGTTTATCTGCACGATAAAACCCAGAAAGCTTTTAAAGCAGTCCTGAGCTTCCATTTAAGAGGAGTGGACTGTATTTAGCTGAGTTTCTATGTATCTTTGTATTTGTGCGTTAATATCACATATGGAGTCAAGACGATCCACTGCATTAGGATAGTAAGTAAAATTAGTAGCACTAACTATACTTTGATTTTTGCATAAAGGAGTAAAGGGAGGGGGGTCAAAACAAAGTAAGATGAGAAAATTGAAGGTATGCAGAGGACTGAAACAGCCAAAAACAAATATAAATAAGGAAGTAAATATATGAGTATAATAATAAAAAAAAAGAAAAAGAAATGTAGACACCGCTTAATTTACAAAATGCGACACAAATTGATGTTCATATTTCTATTATGTACTTTTCATTTATTTAACCAATTTAAAAAAAACATGAATTTCTCTTGCATTTATACATTTGTTCATGCCTACATTTCTCTTAAATATTCCTTTTGTATAATCATTGATTTTCCGAGTAGTTTATTTACTTCTTTACGCTTATTTTATTTTGGCTGCTTTGGTCCTCCATATAGAGAGAACTAATCGGGAAGCAGGAGGAATTATGAAGAAAAAAAAGGAGCAGGACAGAGAGAGAGAGATAATAATCTGAGGGGTTTGGACACCACAATGAGGTGAGAGATGAGAGTGATGCAGGAGGGTGTGTGTGGGAGGGGTTACCTATAGTCAACCTGAGCCTCACACCGCCGGAGTTTTTACGAGCGCATCCTCGTCAATGACACCCTGCCCCCCACCCAACACAGCAGCAGCGCACTGCTGTTTAGGAGACAGGACGCCATTTGAGACGAGATCTGTGAAATGACCGAGTGGCCTACGTCGTCTGTCCCGAAACACTCGACAGACGAATAGACAGACACACAGACAGACAGACCTCTGGAGTTGTGTCTGTTTCTCTGCCTACGCTGTAGTCCATAATGACCTGTCTGTGTGTCTGTCTGCAATGCATGTGCTTAACCTGACAGCTCTGTGGATTCAGCCTAATCCTATGTGTGCATGTGTGTAAGGCAGGAGAGTTTGAACCTGGCTGACTGTCCTGCACTCATCAGTATAGCTATAACTGTGCTGTAATAATGTTCTGAAGGATTTCACACTTCAGCAAAAAGACTATGTGTCTGCACAAAAACAAAAACAGTGCTCCGCCAGTCTCTGAATTTACTCTTTTGTTTTATATTTTCTTGGACTTTTACAGTCTGGGGCTCGGTGGGAGACACCAGTGTAAAAAGCTTTTCATGGATCCAGATGTTGAAACAGAAACATCTGTTTCAGCAACTTCCTCCTCTTGTATTTAAAAAATAATAATTTTAGGGTGTGTGTGTGTGTGTGTGTGTGTGTGTGTGTGTGTGTGTGTGTGTGTGTG